TAAACTTACAACTTAGTTGTTGAAAGTTGAACACCCCAACCACTGAACCACAGCTTGACTTCAGAGTAATTCTGGAAACATGAAGAATAATTAGACATTTCACATTAAACACAATTCAGTTTTTTCTTTTGATTTTGATTCGCGCTAACCTAGTTACAAAGCGTTATGTTTCTTTATTATCATAAGTGTAAGTCATAAGCTAATATATAAATTTCGTATTCATATTTCAAACAGACGTCGTTTATATACGGATATACTGGACTATATCATACCATAAAGTGGAAAACAAGTTATAAGTGGCTGTGAATAGGGGCGTTGTAGGTAATGGACTGGCAATATATTTGGAATAGTAAGTCGTATGACAGTAGTTGATGGGTTAGCCGAAAGCTTAACCTAAAGGTAATACATATACATGATAATCTAGATATTCAGTAACTATATAACAAAATTATAATTATTCGAAAAAACCACTTCGAACTTCTAAAATACTCGTCCCATTATAACGATATACGTTATTTCTTTTTGTTTTCAGAGTGTAATTTAAAACTTTTTGATAGTGCAGCATTTGCTAGTCAATTAGCTGATAATATGTCACGTAGTTATGAATCTGTCTTTTCACTAACTCATATGTGTTCAATACGTGTTAGTTTTGTAAAAGGTTGGGGAGCAGAATATAGGTGAGCTAATTTAGTTTGAAGTAATATCTGGTGTTTTGCTACATTTATAATTTATTATTACTATTTATGAATAAATGGTTTTATTGTGGACTACTCAATTGAGCTAGTGTAATGATGACTCCAAGTAAAAGTTACTGGGCCAAGATATAGGTGAATCTATCTACACTTTGGTACAGGTATACATGTAACTGGGGTCAGTCAGCAGCAACGTAGGACTTGTACGTACGTACGTCAGTTCAAGTTGCCATACCACATTAGCACAGAGATATAATTCTCGATTCAAATCTCATGGTGTTAGAGGTAGCAAAAGCATAAGCAGTAATCGGAAAGGTTAGGGTTTGAAGATATTATTCAAAGCGTATAATCCAGTGAAATAGATTTGGAAGGAGAAAAAAGGGACATGAATAATTCAGAAGATTAGAATTTAGGAGAATACAAAGAGTGGATGCACCTGCATCATTGCAAACAATTTTGAGCCATGTCATTCAAGGTTTCTAACCATCGGTTGTTATCATCTTGCGGTCTCCAACCAGGTAGTCTACACCTACCAACATGACTCAGTCCACTTGTCAGTGACTTCATGGATTTGTGCCATGATATACGAGCAATGTTTCGAAGGCACCTGTGATCGAATACTAGTAACCTACGAATATCCATCTAGCTGAAGAGTCTCAAATGTAGGAGGTAACGCGCGTCCTTGTTTCCTATTCAAGATTCATCAGTCAGATATACCAGCATTTGAGTGTTGACACTTACACTGTTACTCAAACCAAAAACGCCCTATTTCTTCAAACAACGATGCGTTCATAAGGTTCCTACTTTGTTATCAGAATGGGTTTTGTGGAGAATTTTAGAATTTTCACAGTTTTTGAAATCATGAGTCAGTTGAAGCTAGACCAGGTTTTCAATGGTGGTCTAGCTTCAACTGACTCATGATTTCAAAAACTGTGAAATTCCTACTTTGTCTTTTGTTTTTTTATCAATATTTAGAATTCTTATTGGCCAATCACTGTTGGGATGAATTGTGATCTGTGTTTTGACTTTTAGCCTGGTTAATTATCACGTGACTTATTCACCAATCGGAATACGACTTATACAATCCTAGCACTGTACCAAACCAATGAAATATCGATCGGTATAAGTAGCCCAGCGTCCTTAATGGTCCTTTTTCCTGCCTTGACCTTCCTGTTTAATCCAGAACGCCGATATCAGCTTCCACTATATGAATCATTTATTTCAAACATACCTGGTTTATATACAAGCCAAGCAGATCACATCACATCATAAAGTAGAAAATAAGATTTGTACAAGATCAAGCCGAAAAGTGGCTATGATTGTGGGAAACTGTAATGAATAAATTGGGTATAACTCATGAATAGTAAATCGTATCATAATAGTGTATAGGTCAAAATAAAGCTTATTAATAAGTGGAATATAAATATACATAATCTAGTCACTTAATAATTATACAATAAGAATATATTTATGATATTAGTCCATAAATAGATCCCAACAGTTGCCATTCATTATTATCGTCGGGATATAACAATCTGAAATATCATCAAAGGAAAAAAACCAATAAATAAATATAATATTGTCATATTTTTTAAAAGGACATTTATAAATACTTTGTAGTTTTTTTCTTTTTGGTAGAATAATATACATTCAGCATGTTTATATTGTGAATTCTTTTCAACTAAACTATAATTTATGAACAAACTTTCAGTTATACTAGAGTAACCATGAGAAAACTTCAACCAATTGCAAAGGTTGAATTAGGATTATGAATTAGTACTAGGAATTAGAAGTTAAGGTTAAGAATGAAAGTTAAACTTTTCATCATGAATATTGACATAAGCTATAATGCCAGTTAATCATATGGATAAATGAATTCCATAGTGGTCTAGATTCAACTAACTCATGATCTTAACCATTGAAATTACTATAATATCCACAAAACCCGTCTAAAATAGAATAGTTGATGCTTTAATTCTGATTGGTTTATCCAAAAATTATATCCCCACCTTTTAATCGCTGAAAAATTCCCATTATATTAAAACACAAATATATGAACGAAAAATATTCTTTTCAATAATTTCTCATCAGGTTCCCACCTTTTTCTTATCAATGATTAATATTTTTTTTACGTTAACAAAAAAACATTTTTATTTAATTTAGAAGACAAACAATAACCAGCACACCATGTTGGATAGAAGTACATTTAAATGGACCATTAAAATGGCTTGATCGTGTACTTCGACAAATGGGTTCACCTACACTTCCATGTACATCAGTGAGCTGAGAAAATTTTTTTTGAAAGAAAACAACCAAATCAGAACACACCTAATCGATCTCATCCACCTATTTTATTGTATTATATTATTACTATTAATTAATAATCTTCACGGCTGGTAACTAAACACACATACATGCACACGCACACAACCGCCATCGACCCCATCCTTATCTGTTCATTACATATGTTTTGTTTTTAAAATGTCTGTGTTCTACTTTGGTTTCTCCGACGGAATAGATGTAAACGAGAAAGATTCACTACTGACGAAAAAAATGTAATAAACAATAGCAGTAGTATATATAATTACTATTCGCATCTCTTGTTTTTATGTTTAGTATATAAGTTTTTAGATGATTCTTCGTCAGTATATTGAAGTTAATTGTCATTTTAGCTAGCATTTACGCTATACTTAAAAATAATGATATGATTGAAGATTATGGCGAACACTTAAAGAACGGTGTAATATATATATACGTATACATATATATGTACACTTGATCTGGGAATAATGAATGAATGAATTAGATATATTTCTACTGAATTAGCAGCAAAGATAATTTTATTGAATCTTTTTTGTTTCCCATAGATTTTTTTTACTGATTTGCCCTTCCCTCTTTTGGTTATCCGTTTCTCTGGCTTCTTAGTTAGTATTCTATTTCTTTTTGTTGTTTTTTGTATTTCAGTTGAGTCGATATTCTGTGTACGTGTACTAATACTATTACCATTAATGTTTGTAATACTAATAATACAAACTCTGAATGATGATGTGTTAGACAGCGTATGTTAAACAGTAGTAATGTGAATGTATTATTTCTGTCTATGTACACACATTTATTTATTCATTTTGTTCGTTCTCCAAGTTGATTATTGGTTGGCTTGTACAAAAGTGTAATTTTCTCTTATTTTTTCCCTTTCGAATACTAAGTATTGCTTACCCATAGACAGACAAACGAAGCACATTTAAGTAAACAAGAGACTGTTCTATCTATTCACCCAACTTTAAATTGGTGCACTTTTCTTTTTGTTCTGCACGATCGATTCTTTGTTTATTTTGCTTATCTAAGTAAAAACACCCTGTTGTGGATATTATTTTTCTAAACTAACGTATGTTCTTCTTTCCCTTTTCTTTATATATATATATATATATATATATATATATATACGCGAACTTCTTTTTTGTCATTCAAAGTTTTACTGTCATCGTCGATCATATTACTTATAATTATGTTGAAATTCTTTCTTTTAAAGAGTATTTAAAAAACGGAAAAAAAGAAATTTTTTGTTTGTTTGACAATAGTTCGAGTAGGAATAGATGGGTTGGGGACCTTGTTATTCACTATTCGATTATTATTTTCTACTGTGCATTATGATATTTATAAATGAATGAAATAAGTAGGTCGGCCTTTTTTTCCCTTATCATAGGTAAAAGTAGAATCCTATTTTGAAAGAATTCATAATTTAATGTATATGATAGTTAGCAGCTTTGTTTTTGTAAGTTGTTTAGTTCAAGGTTAAATGTTGATTACTTGAGTACAATTATATTCATCGAATGAAAATAGATATTTTCAAATGATTGATTTTATCAAATGAATCCACACTTATTTGTGTAGCGAAACATCATCTTCTTATTAAAACGAAGCAATAATGACTGGTGTATTAACTAGACGTTTCTGAATTTTAGTTGAAGCCATTTAAAAAAATTTTCTACTCTTCCTAATAACGGGTCATGAATGTAACTTAAAGCAATTTAGAGTGTAAACACAAGTGTACCTGTAGTTTCATTATGGAATACTCATTTCCCTCAATTCATTATTTCAGCTGACATCTTTTAGATGGTCAGAAGTGAATTCTCTGCCGGAGTATCCATTTTAACAAGAATCTTGGGCACTACGAACTCGCTTTTCACTGATGATAAAAACTGAAATTGGCTTACCTAGTGGTTTCGGTTGCTCACGATCAACAGTTTGTTCCCCATAGCCATATCGATTGTGATACGTTTACCTCTCATTTTACCTTAACTGGACAAACTTTATTGTTTTTTTTTATCGATATTTAGCTGTATGAGTTGTTACTAGTTCTTCGTGGTTTACAACTGTCGGTCTGTGAATGAACCTATAAAATCTTAATCACTTATTCCATAAGCTTCCCTTTGTTCCACAAAATGAATTGCCATGGTTAGTGGGCTTTCATAGGTAGTGACACCAGTCCACATATGTATGGCTCAGGACTGCGCATGTGAAAATGCAGTCTACTCTCTACTTGACTTTTTTCGTTAAAGTGCGTTTCAGAAAAGCTGCCGTGTTTAAAGAAAGAATATTTTATGAAAATTGGCATCTCAATGAAGCTAGAAATTGTCGAAGTGTGCTGAGAGGTATGGTGTATCTTTGATAATGAGTACATTTCATTTCAAACAACTGAGACAACAATTATGCTAAATTTTGTTGTGCATGTAGTTAATTTAGTTTCGCGACATCCCTTTTGTGTTTAAGAAGCCGATATTCCATTCCAATTGAGAACATTTTAAGAAACTTACCTTGGTGGATATAAGGAAATAAAGATTAACACAGTCAACCAGACCTAAGCACTTGAACAATGTGGCCGTTCGTAATCACAAGCGTAATTGGAAGTACAGTATAAAAATCCTTGACAATTAAGTTACCATTGGAATGTAAGTCGAAGAATTCTTTTGGAAATACAGGTCAAAAATACACAGTATCCAAATTTCACATTGATTTAGATACTATATTACCAGTAAAATGTAAGTAGACAAATAAAAAAAATTATCAAATGCTTTATTTTTAATCTATGAGTTTCAAGTAGTTTTTGGGTTTGTAAATTGTAAAGTAACACAAAAAAAAACTGTAAACGAAGTCATGTATGAATAAGATCATCGTTGTTAAATATATATGTCAGAGTAAATGCTGATTATAAAAGAACATAGTTGTGAAATAAATGCGAGGTTATCATCTTATTGAAAACAAAACAAAAAACGAAGAGATATAGAATTACAAACATTTCATGAAGTATAATGGAGAGTGAAATGCGAGTTATAATGGTATATTAATAGTTTACAGTTGGCTTTTGTGTAATTCTGATCACGTCAACGGAAGATACGAAAAGTGATAATAATGTTAAATGTAATTTTAAGTTAAAAGAATCACAGCACTTTCTGATACAACATAACATATCGCTATCATCAATCATCCTCTTATTCACATTGGAAAAAAATGTTTTAGAGAATTTTTCACAAATAATACGTCAATTTCTTTTTACGAGACAAGGTTATTCATTGTTCTAATCTTTATTATTATTATTATTATTATCAAAGTTGCACTTTTAGCCGTGAAAATACAACTATCAAAAGAGAAAAAGGAAAACAAATCTACCCGACCATTGTAGACAGTCACGTGTCTTGGTGGTTGGTTCGTTTGTAGGAGGTGTGCATAGAAACGAAAACAGTTGAAAGAATATTCTTTCTTAATAATGATAGTGATCGTCATTATCATTATAATTAAGATAATAAATGCTAAAATATTTTTAGTGATGAAGTTAGTAATAATAAAAGAAAAATAATGATAATAGGATAACGGGACAAAAATGTATGAAATGCATATAACATATGAATCCACATTGATTACCGAACCCTGCCTACCTTAATCTTTTTTTGTAGCATTATTATTTCTATTCTGTATAAATCCCATTATGTTCCACAAAACAAATGCATAAAAACGATTATCATCACATTTAACATATAAGCATTAAGTTGAATTGCGTTATGCTTATTAGGTATTCGCCATCATCACAGAATCTTATATTTTTGTCTCTTGAATAATGATTAAGAATATGTGTTAATTATCACGATAATAATAATAAACAGTAATCGCAGTACTAACGAGAGTAATGTCAATAAATATATAGATAGTTGAATGTAGAAAGAATTAGGAAGTGATGTTTGAATATAGAATTTTATAAGGTATATTGTTTTTGTGACAATACACATACACAGATAATATTTTTGATTCAGAGAACTAATAATTTGTGTACAAACTGTATGTATATGAAGATTGTAAAAAAAATTATTAATGATAATGAGATGAATCTATTACTGTTGTTTGTATATCAGAATTGTTTGATTGTTTCAAATCAGATAAGTGTCGATATAATACTTCAGCATCTTCGTAAACTTCTCTAAAATGAATAAAAATAGAAATTCAATAATAGAGGTTAAATTAAATAGTTGAAAATAATAGACTGCATTTGTTACGAATTGTTCTCAAATAGGGTACTATTGAAAACCGAGGAGCACTGAACAGTTGTTTTATATTTGTGGTCAAAAGCCTTCAGCCTACACATGTCTTCTATTTTCAAACTTACGACTGTTACCGCTCGCTGCGGAGCATAGGCCACCCACCAGCACTCTTCATCCAACTTTGTCCTGGGCAATCCTTTCCAGTTGCTATTCATTCTTTTCATATTTGCTTCCATTTCCTGACGTAGTGTGTTCTTCGGACTTCCTTTTTTTCGCTTCCCTTCGTGGCCATAAAGTAATACAAGGTGGCCTATTGTACAATACACAGGCCATTTGTTTGATAAATGTATATTTCATCTACATGATAGGCTGGTAACCACCCAGCACGCTTTTTAATGGTAAACATCACAAGAGAACCTCCATATGTATTTTTATTATTTATTTATTTATATGAACACGTAAATATTGGTACAAAAGGGCACCGAATACATATGCGCCACACAAGTCACTTGGTTTGTGTGTGGGCCTGGTACTACCCGGGTGCCCAGACCGAAGCAGATGGTTGTCTTAGAGGACAACACCCGGAGCCTTCGACCTGAAGGTATGATCCACAAGGCAGTGGAGCATTGTAAGGAGATGCAGTCCAATAGTAGCCAGTGACCAATAATTGGTCCATACGCCATTTGTTCCTTCAGGATATTGGAGCCCATGTTCTAAAACTTGGTGAAGATTGAATATTCTCTGTGGCTATCACAGGAGGGATTTCCTCCCCTCTTATAGACTTGGACGATCAGCGATCAATACCAGTCAGATGAAATTACATTCGGTTTCCAGACTTAAGCTAATATCTCGGTCAACTTAACCGTTAAGACTGGACCAACATCCTTAAAGATCTCTGGGGTTAGGCCTCCGGGGGTCGAACTTAGGGTGTTCAGGTCTTGTGGCAAAGACCTAAACATCAGAGTTACTGTGACGGCATTCAGTGTTACAATTTCAACTCCAGTCAATGTGACGAATAAAACTTACAGGCTAAACCAATTTCCATAAAACTCCTTCAACTTAATTAACTTAATACGTAAGGTTGAACTGATATAAACTATTTAGATATATGCATTCTGGTTACGCAAAGAGTAAACGCGGTTTTCCTTGGGTTGAAGATAATTTAAAAGATTCACAAATTTGCAAATGGAATGTATATATTTGTGTACTATCTCTTCTGGTGGATAGTGGAAGTGAGAAAAAAAACTCAAATATTTATTCATGCTTAGTAGAATAAAGTGTCTTGTCTGTCGAAGTCATTTTAACCATAATGATTAAAAATCTTTGATATTTACCAATTCTCTAGAAATGAAAAATGAAAACATATTTCATTGTAATTAGATCAAATAATCGAAATTTACTTGATCATGAAGTTACTCCATGTGAATTTGTTTTATTTTTTTTACGAAGTGATAATTGATCGTATTTTAAACAAATTTTTGTTCATTTCATATCCCTACTGATTAAACACACCAGTAGTGGAAAATTCTCAGTGTACGGACCATAGATATGGTTCCAAAAAATTTTATTCGTGAGTTTAGAATGTAGAAATATTATTGTCTATATTTTGAAGACACCAGAAAAATCAATTATTTCAAAAGTATTCTAAATGATCTGTTATTTAATAGTTTTGAAATACATAGCGGGTAAGTTAGCAAGTTTATGTGAGTTCATTTGTAACGAGTGTGTAAATTATTCTTTATTATGTCTTCTACTTGACTACGGTTATTATAGTAGATGGCTATCAGCACTCGGACGCATCGAAACTCAAAAGACAGGAAAAAACAGGAAAAGCGGTTGAGTAAGTGTGAATAATGTACAGAAAAATAGGATTATAGTTTTTAGTATAGGTTATAGGATTACTATAATCCAGCCAATCCTCAAGTAGAAAATTATATAATTGTTCAAACACCGTATCCCACATTTATACTATAGAAAATTCCATCGAGTTCTGGTTGGATGGGATCGCTTTGGTTCCCTTAGAGCCTCCGGAGGCTTCGTCGCGCTTTTCCTAAGTCATCTCAACATTCTTTGTGAAATATTTTTCGCCATATTTCACAGAAATTCTTAGCATAATTTAACTAGGAATAATTATAAAATTAGGTGTCTTGTATTCGACATTAAATATCACCTATTGAATTATTTCATAGATTACCATATAAATTTAAAATCAAGGTTAAGTATGAAAGTGGAACTATTAAACCCATTTCTACATTCTGACTAGGATAGTCTGCAATTAGTGTTCTTATGCAATGCTTACACAAATAACTAATGTTCGGATGACAAATCAAAGTTTGCGCTTCAAATTTAGTTATATTTTCTAGCAAACAACATAACACAATTAATTTTAGTTTTAATGAATGCATCATACTGTGATTTTTTTTAATGAACTGTTATCTTTCCGATAAACATGCATCAGTCACCATCGAGGTTCCAGATATGTGTTTTGATGACGAATATCAACTAATATGAAGGCGAGAGCTTCCTTCAAATTGCTTCCAAAAACCTAGTATTTAAGCAAGTTCAGTTATTTAGACTACTGATCATATTGACACTTGATAAATGGAATTTAATCAGCTTCAACAATTAGACATATGCCGCATAGGTTAAAACCCAGTGATCGACCACTGTAAGTATATCAGTCACTGTTTACATCACTCACTGGCAACTTAAGTGATTGGGTGATGAGCAGTTTGAATTTCATGTGCAGCATCAATCTCCCCTTACGATAAAATATAAGCCATACTGACAGATGACAACTAGTACAAGAGTTGCAATTGCAGGACTTCAAAAGTTTGTCTTAGTTTAACAACTTGAATCTCATGATTTAATAGAAACTAATTCACGAACACCACTCATGACTTTCATCTTTTTTGTCAATCTATATTATAATCTAAGATTATGAATGACAAATGTATAAAAATGGCTACACATAACAAAAACAGGAAGTATATATATATATAACTACTGACCTGGTTGTTTTCTGTTTGGAAGTAACTTCATCACAAGTTGGTGTATACTAAAATGAAAATATTTGAAAATAAACAACACTGAGTTCAACTTTTTGATATGATCACTTGACACAAATCGATGAGCAAAATAGTTTATGTTGTACGTCCTGATTAAAATTCTACTGAACCAAGGAGCCAATATGATTATTTATTACTAGACCAAGAGTGAAGTGTAAATATTTCTAGAGTGCCGTGCTTATAGACAGTCCACAGAAATTCATAGTTAGAGTCTTTGAATAAATAATGTCAAATACATGGAGCATTGAGTGTTCGCACTAATAAAATAATGATTTATTTTAACATCTCAATTAGTAGAAAATTGAATTTTTGACGTTTTGTATAAATTGCTTCTTTAAATAAATAACCAAATAAAATTAGTACAGAGAAACATTGAAAAATATTTAGTACAATCAAAACAAATCTGATTGTTGAGATCATGAGTCATTTGAAGCTAGACCACCATGGGAAACCTGGGAGTACTGAACGGCCGTTTCGTCCTATTGTTGGACTCTTCAGCAGTGCACATCCACGAGTCCGCCTCGCGAAATTCGAACACAGGACATATCGGTCTTGCGCGCGAACGCTGAACCACTAGACCACTGAGTTGGTCGGCATCCAACGGTGTTAATGTCCAACTTCAACTAATCCACGAAATTGAGCGATACTATCTCACAACAGACCCAGTTGAACTTCACTGGTCATAATAGGACGAAACAGCCGTCCAGTGCTTCCAGGTTTTCCATGGTGGTCTAGGTTCAATTGACTCATGATCTCAACCACTGAAATTACTATAATATCCACACAAAAAAACTCTTCTGGTATAAATCTGATTGTGTTGTCATACCAATCAGGTCAAAGGTGAAATAATATATGTGTATTTGTGTACATCTGGGTGGCTGTCAAAAATGTGATATTTATAATGTCTAGGATTCGAGTTAAATTTTATGTTAAGGATGTGAGATTTGAACAGATTAAATGTAACCAGTAGAGCTAAACTGTGTCGGGTGTAAAGAAGGTATCCTTTAAAGACACTGGAAGATGGTCGCGCAATAATATGAATTGATTGAAATTAGACTAGTACATTACTGGATCTCCCCAACAATGACAAATAAACAGATATTCAACACTTTATTTTTATCAACATATTACTTGTTTAAAACCAGATATTCTCAACTATTGAGTAAAAACAGGAATTACTATTCAAATTCAAACCAACTTCCACTTTTGTTATTCAAGTAAACAGTTTAAAAAAGTTTCAGATAAAACAAAATAGACAAGTTGGTGGTTAAATGATTTAAGATTTAGTCAGCACCGTGTAAATTCCAGACACATTACCCATTTCTATCTCGGTTGGCCGGATAGTATCATTATTCTACAAATAAAAGGAATGATTTAACATTGAGTACACAAACCTATAAAGTGAGTTGCAACAGTTAAATTAAAAATTGTAGTACGATAAGCCACAATTTTTAAAGCATTGGGTATCAGGTTCAAGTTTCGATCTAAATATCAGCTGAAAAAGTTCCAAATGGAATAAATTTCAGCGCATCTTGAATTCCATCGTAAACATCTACGAAAATAACATATCCATACAATGAATAAAATGTTGTGACGGAATACTGAATATACTTTATGGATATTAAATTAGAGATAAATCAATCTTACCTCCATAACTGATTCATAAGCAGTTGAACATGAGCTGATTTCAATATCATACAGACGATTCACAGCACTTTTAGATAAACTAGTGAGATGATGTTGGTTAGAAGAAGAGATGGAACGATGTTGTGACTGCTGTTGTTGTTGACTTGTTAACTCTTTAATTATCAGAAGGGGTTTGTGGAGTGACTGACTTGTGGTATCTGTCAATAATAATGGCATACATGATAACGGACTATTTAAAGATGAATTTGGTAAAAACGATAAATCAGCATACTTTGTTGTTTGTAATTGTGTTAAACTGGTATCTTCAGGTTGATTTACAACCACATTTTCTGTAGTTGTTTGAATGATATTAGACTGAGGTGCAAAAGAAGAGGGATATTTCGCATCTAGTAATGTTACTTGTTCATTACTTGGATTCGATAAATCAGATTTGTGATCATTAGTGTTATTTATTTGAATATTATGTGCAGTATCATAGATATGGATTGGAGGTTCAAGTCTAAAAGTGAATATTTTAAATATATTTATATATATACCTTGTAACTGAAAAGCTATATCAGTGTATTTTGCTAAGGATACACAGATAACGGGAAATTACAAACTATTACTAATAACTTCATATCCATTGGACAAATTACTCATTATCTTAACTCTGTAGCTTAGTGGATAATGTGTTTAGGGTTTGAAGTGATGGACATTGGTTTCGAGTTTCAACATGAAAATAATAACACTGAAATATAGGTGCACGCCTAGATCAGTTCCAAATGAAGCGAAATATGCATCCTGCATTCCACAGTATGAATCTACATCGAATGTAATTTATAATCATTGTTTTAGGAAAACCGACACATGGGTAGCATTACAATTATCACACAAATCATTACAATCTAAAATAAAGGTTGTCTTGCATTGGAATCCAGGAGGGGCGTTTCGTCCCATCTGAGACTCGAACCCAGTACCGTTCGTTTTGATCGAGTGAACATTAACTCTGAGATATAATTAGATTCAGATAACGAGTATCAAACAGGATGAATAGCGCGTCCTGGATTCCACTATTAGTTACCACCCATCTCTGCTTATATTGTTGATCAATGTTGATTGAAGGTTTCGGATGACTTTTAAAAAAATTAATTAAACACCTTATTCTGTTTTGGATTTCACTTCAAATTATCTAGCAGTTTGATATAAATTATAACCGTCAATCGTTTTGTTATTATTTATTCACTTATAAATGAAAGAATTAAAATATAATAATAACATTTGATTGAGACGGGTCAGAAGGTTGATATCAAATCAGTATTTGTTGTGTTGTACAAAAGTCTTCAAAGACGTGTACTAAGGTTTATTGAAGCCTTGGCTATACGGAAATTGAAACCCCCTTTATGTGTTCAAAAATAATTTGTCCTTACAATTAACAAACCCTGGTAATACTATTTATAATCCAGAGTGGTAATCACATTTGTTTTTTGTGTACTTTAATATTTTTCCTTTGTTATGACTTACCCTTAACCTGTCTAGTTGACCTTTTAATTTTCATATATAAATGTTCTTAACAAGTATATGTGTGATCAGATTGTTCGAAATGTATATCACATAATTCTGATAAACTACGTCTTCTCATTGCATTATCGAAATTTATCAAAAGGACTACTTGTTTTAAATAATAATAATCATTTAAGATATGATGTTAAAAAAAGGAAGAAAACCAACTACCTTTCATGAAGTGTTGCATAACAAGATGAACGTGATGATCTTTCGATAGGATTAGTAATTTTGTTGTTTGCACAAAGTTGTAAGTCGATTGACTGATCCGATTGAGGTTTAAGCAAATTCTTTGCTGAACTTTCTACATATAAATTATTTTGCATGGTTGAAAGTGTATTTGTATTATATGGCAAATTGATTAAACAATTATTTCTTTTTTCAATATCATTAACATTTTCACTAGATAAGATTGTTTGAACGTTATCATCTGTAGGTAATTGAGATTCTGTATTATTTTCGAAATCTGATATTGTATTCTGATCACCAATAGTACGTCGATGAGTAGTTGTTTTAACTAGACTAAAATAAGAAAATAGAAGAAAAGGAAAAAAAAGCAATAAAAAAATGTTTTCTTGTTCAAATTAGTTTTGTAAAGATTTTGTATAGGTTGACAGTAATTGACATTGTGACTTGAAATCAAGTTGGAGAATTATTCAAAATTGAAAAGCCAATGAACATAATTAATTTTTAACAGTTTAACACTCCTAAAATAATGTTCATTTACAGAATCCAGTAAGATCAAACTAACCATTTTCAAGTTACATTCACTGTAAGAGAAATAATATGAAGTCATGGAGACTGAAATTGAGTGGGTTCATCTCAGTGTAAGTAATGTAACGCAATTCTCGCCTGGTGTATCTGTTGGGATAGTTTCACTCTCTTTTAATATTATGTTCTCTAAGTTAGGTGGCTTAATTATAGAGATTGATTGTCATTCTAGAGGTTTTCAGGGTTTACTTTATATAGAAGTTAGATTTCGGTTATTTCATATGTACCATATCAATCCGCTTCAATGATGTTGCTTGTGATTGGCTCTCTTTGTAGATTTCGTTCATTCTTCCTTGGACTGACATTGACTATCTTTCTCGGATGACCTCTGACCTTGTGATTGATTGGTCTCTTTTGTATAGATTCATATATTAGGTTTACGTTGATATACTTGTTGGTTGCCAATCGATTTTGATACCATAATTCTAGGAACTGTTTTGGCATTCTTGGAGTTTCCTTGGCCCGAAATTGCGACGTTTAACCAGTCGAATTCATGCCCATGGTTACTAGAATGCAATGTTATTATATAACCTCAGTGCTAATCTATGTTCATGTGTGAATAGGTCAAAGGAACCTCCACTTCGTCCAATGTATTACTTCTGGCAATTGGTGCAATTTACTTGATAGATGACATCAGATTTACCTTTTCGTGATCTGTATCTAATGAAAAGAAATGATTGTGTTGATTTGTGAGAGACGTTGAACGAAAAGTATTTCAGAATCATTGTAATGACTCTTGAGATATTTTCCCACATATGGTAGGATGATCTACTTCTTGGCTTATGAAGTTGGTTTTTGACAGTGAGTTTATTTGTAAAAAATGTTCTCGTGAAGTTGTTGAGGCACCCATTCTAAACAAGATGGATAGTTGACGAGTCCCTTTAAATTTTTGGGCAGCGAGATTACTGCAGCGCGTCTCCACAATGCATAGCTTGAAAATTATACGATAGGAAATGTTTGTTTTGTTTGAAATGCTAGCAATTTTTTGGCTTTCATTTTGAAAAAGCATATCAATTAAATTTCGAAAATGCATGCAGCCGAGTAGATGATTTTACCAGAAAACAAAAATCTCTCTGATCTCAGAGATCACAACACTTTTAAAGTCCTATACCTCAGCTAAAACTATTATCCATCATCGCAAAAGATTTATGTTGATAATTCTAAGTTCTGTTGAAGATTTGGAAGGGAATTCTTATGATGAGTTGACGTGTTTGTGTATGTAGCCGTAAAAGTGCATTGGTATGAAAAGTTCTAAATTAGAACAAGAAAGATGATTAGTACCCAGTGAATTCTAGTAAGTTTCTGGCTGATACCTCAGTCAGTGACAAACAATCTTGAGTACCTATGGAAATACTCAAAATAATTTCTACCTCTCTCCAAAAAAGTTATAATTCGCAATTATAGGGTGTTGTGAACATTACTGAACTTGAAGGTTCCCATCACGGACTGACTTAGATTTTTAGTGGGTATCTAGCCTAAGTCAGTCTGTCATATAAAGCCCTTGATAATTCCTCAAAAGACTTTGGAAGCCTGGAAATTGCTAAAAGTACCAAAATAAGTGTAGTGGCGTTCAGATATGCGAAATGATGAATAAAAGTTGAGTGTTGTGGCCACTTATACGGATCCATACAGTTTCACATACTACTTATAAGTGAGTTAGGTAAATAAACTTTAAAGTGATTTTCTTTAGGAGAATTAAATTCATTATTCATAACCATAAAGTTTGGTGAAAACAACAAATCAGAGCTTTCAATGGACTAAATATAACCGAACAGTAAACTCAATAACAATTGTAAAAGATCACTTCATTATTTAGCGTATATATATACTATAGGCGGACATCAAATTGTAGATAATAGTTTTATTAAATCAAGACAATAATACTAACCTGAATAATTTACTGATTACAGTTTTTGGATGTGTTTTTCTCACACGAACAGTTTCATTATCGATACATTTTGCTATAATGTAAAGCGATGAAAAAAATTTAAAGAAAATGCAACTCAACAAACCAAGAATGATAGTGTTTGTAGTGAACAGAATTTCGTGTATGCTTTACATTCTATTCAAAATGAAGAGTGTATTCATTAGTAAATTAACTAACAGGAAATCGATTCCTGTTTACAGTAGATTCTGTTTAATCACGTGGATAAAGACAAGCAACTAGCCTCCGCTTTTCTAGGGCTACTGCCAATCCCAAGACCAGGTAAAAGAGGAGGGCTGGGCGTGGGGTCGGCATCCTCATCCCGTAGAAAACAATCTTGCCAAAAAGACGCTAAGCAGAATAAGCAAATCAAAACACTCAAACTCTGCCCTGGAAGTTGAAGGGAGAACTATGACGCCTCATGGTGAAAACCGAGATCCTTCGGAAGACACGAGGCCGATTATTATTTATTTATTTTAACACATAGATATTGGTACAAGGAGGCACCAAATACATATGCGCCACACAAATCTCATTCGATATGTGTGATGGCTGTGATACTGCCCGGGTGCCCAAACCGAAGCAGATGGTTTTCTTAGGGGGCCACTCCCCGAGCCTTCGACCTGAAGGTCTGATCCACAATGCAGTGGAGCATCGGGAGGAGATGCAGTCCCATGGAAGCCGGTGACCAACGACTGGTTCATACGCCATCTGTTCCCGCAGGATAATGGAGCCCATGTGCACCATTGGTTTGGAATCCGGTTAAAGCGCCGGACATCCGCTTTTCGTCCTCTCATTTTCGTAAACAACACCCTCGCCACGAGAAGGCAGTGAGTAGGACTTCCCTGGCAGAGGCTATATACGCGTGGCCATATGAGAGGATTTCGAGAGGGAGAGCGGACTCTCCTCACTCTCGGCCGTACCAGGGCATTTGGGGGCCGATTCCCCTTCTAACAACCAGAGGAACAACTAATCTAGGCAATCTTATTTAACTAGCCTCGGTCACTGCTTATACATTCTTATTTAAGTCAGTCTAGCCGCCTACGAATATCCATAAATTGTGGGTATCTTAGCAGGCTTGAAAAAAACATATCTTAACAGACAATTTCTATTTTTATTTTGAACAGTTGGGTTAATCAAGGACTAAGAAAGTACATAATGGGTGAATCTAAATTGATTATGACTGATTGTTAGACGTTTTATGTAATTTAAAGGCAGTATTCATCACGGATTAATATCATATAGAGAAAGAATGAAAATTGAGAGGTAACAGAGAGCAGTTTGGTACCGATTCAAATGTTTTACACAAAATAACTCCATACTCGTATATATATAAGATAAAACATGAACTGTTTGGAATTTTCAGGCTAAGGGGAAGGCGTTGAAAGCAAAACACACATTCATTACATTTTTTTAGAACTTTCTTGTTGTTATTTTGATTCAAATTTATACAAGAAACTGAATGCACTAAACCAACAGAGTATGAAACTAGGTTGTCACAATATTTTCTCCAGGAAAAAAAAACGATATTAGTGATGAACTCAATCTATAATAAAATAATCCCATAAATGTTTAGGATGAATACAAGGTGAACACATTTGAACATATTCTGTAAACAATTCTGTAGTATACAGATGAATTTATGTATTGTACTATTGAATTGATTTATGAAAAAACATATCGCTGAAATTAAATGCAGTGCATTTTATTTCCACAGCTGGAAAAGAAAATATGTGAAGAGTCAAGTGAGGGAGTTTCTGTGTTACAATTATGTAATCATATCTAAATAAAAATGCTATTTCTGAGGAATATTTAACTGGTTTGATATTTGTACTGGGACTTCTGTTATACCAGAAAATAATAAGATTGATGACTAAATTAACAATGACGAAAAATTTAGAAAATTATAACGATGGATAAAATCGGAGTAAAGTTGAAAGAAGTTCAATGAAATTATAAAAGAAAAAAAAACAAGCTGATGGATAAACTCATTTTGTATTGATTGTTTGAATTTTCCTATTGGCGCTTAGGATTGCAATTGGTCAATCTCTTTATTGCATATGTGTATCATGTGAGGAATACCTCAATATTCCCACTGAATTCGCACAAAATGTACATATGTCAAAAGAAAATGATCAATTGCAGTCCTAAACATCAATGGGAAGATTCAAGTAACTAATACAAATTAATTAAACTTTACCCTACTGTACAAGCCAGTGGTTATCTAGACAAAGCAACTAAGTGGATAATTGATTAGAGTCCCAGAGTGAACATAAACTCTGGGATGCAGGTACATGCAGCTGACGAGTCCAAACTAGGACGGGACGCCCATCCTGGATTTTACTGCTAGCCATTATCCATCCATCTCAGCTTGTAGATAGACTTATTCTAATAAATTCCCAAATAGATTTGATGAGATCCAGTCCCGAAAGGCTTCAGCAAAATAATAACTGTAACTGTTGATAGAGAAGAAAGGTGAATCTATCTCGTACTTCATTTCAAGTCAATACATGGAACCGTGTATCTTTCTGTTAGCTGATACTTTGATTATGTAGCTTGAAATTCGATAATAAAAAAGTACGGATGAAAAAGCAACTTACTGATAAGGTTTATTACTGTAAGGATGACTGGTGAAGGACAAAATCTTTCACAGTTCATTAATAATCATCAAGATTTATAAACGAAACTTGCCAGTAGGTAAGAAAAGTTTGGCTGCAAATAAAGTTTGTTTATTGTTTTTCTTAATTCGATGTCAAAAGGGCATTCAATCAGCATACTGTATACAGGTGATTGGTTTACAGAAAGAAAAGTCAGTCAGTAAAGTATGGATCGATACAATATTTCAGAGCGATACGCAATTTGTTTTTTTAGGACTCAGGAGATTATGAATGATAATAGAACTAAGAAAATGGTCTATACAAAAAGAAATCTTATGGAGCTGTATAAGAGCATCATGAAGCAAATCTTTGGTTCGATTTATCACGATTGTTTGACAACCTATTCATATCTATCACCATTTGCTACTGGAAATTGAATGTGGGAGATATTATCTATGGCAAATTTAAAATATTTTGATGTTTGTTACTGATGAGTAGCAAAACTTCATAAATTGAGACTACTGTGGTTTATGCTGACAATTATAAGTAGTATATAGCGGAAATAGGAAGTGGAAAGCCTAGCAGCAGAAAATTGAATTGAAGAAAACAGAAACGAAATCAGAGAGCAATCAAAATAACAACATAGAAAAATAATGGAGTAGGTAAAGTACAATGCAAAGAAGATATGCAAATGTATTTAATGGATGATTTTCATATTTTACTAAGCCACTGTATGTTTTGCATAAACAATAAATTGGTTGTCCCTGACTGAGTGTTTGTTCAATACACAATCACCTAATATCAGAATGCCATGATGACAATAATATAACTCGATCGACAAAACTCATCTGTATAAAGCTACAACCCAATTAATCAGTGACCTGAAAATAAATAACATCTGAGATAGTTATTTTTCACATCTCATTATCCCTAATTTCAGAAGAGGAATCAAACTATTGGAAAAAGACAGTTTGTGATAACTAAAATTGATAGTGTGAATAAACCTGATAGGCATTGATCAGTCTATGGTAGAAATCATAGCTGTTGAAAGAGAGCAATGGAAATGAATGCTATTTGATCGACTAAAATGATAAGTAGACGATTTCCCATCATCTCTACTAAGCAAGTGCAGCATTAATTAAAATGATTGAAAAAAAGAGACAGACACCAACGGTTTTACTTTCTTTCAGTCTGCTTAATTGTTACGTTCACGACTGAGATTCTTTTAATACAAACATGAACTGACGCGAACTCTGTAGAACGGCCATTGTCATATACAACACTTTATCAATTACTCTCAAACGATAAAACCCAGGAAGATAGGAGTGCAAAAGAAGATTGATATTCAACGAAGTCAGGACGGTCAAAATTTAAAAAGAACAACTCCGCGTATATCTATAGTAATATGCAATTACTTTGAGACAATAAAACTACCAGACTAAAGGGGATATAACAGCAAAGGTCACTGAGGAAATGCGAAGCATAAAGATATAAAGCAGTTGTATTCTTACCAGATGAAACCATGATTTATTAGCAAAGAACTACATAACCTGATCTCTCCTTAGCAGTAATTTAGGAAAAGAAAAAAAATTATCCCACTCACCATTTTGTTTATTACACATACTATCAACATCAACAACGGAATCATGCCCTCTTCTTTCTATATTTTTATCAGGTTGTTGTTCAACATGATTATTATTATTTTGTAAAGAAGAAAATGAATTCGGCATATCGACAATAAGTTGTAGTTCTTCTGAGTTCAACGCTGTTCTCGGTTTTAACACTGGACCATTCCATGAGGCTGGATCAAATGGTACAAGTACCATTTGACTAAAGTCTATTCTCGGTTGACGATATACAACACGATATTTACATTTCTTATCAATTAAATATTTACCATGTGTATAGTAACATTTATGTAAAGTGGATTTATTGGTTATTGGATTTTTCTGAATATTCATATTTAATATTTGGTCACCAGCAGCGCCAGAGACTGAAGAAAGACTTAATTCACTGAGTAAATCTAATTTATAACTATAACGTTCAGTTTCAGGATCCGACAGAGGAGGAGTAGCATCATAATTCAAATCGGAATCATCTGTTAAGTATTGATAACATATCATCGATGACTTATCACGATCCATATCATCATCACTGTCATGATCATCATCAATAACAATGTTATCATTCGATCGGTATTTACATAAATTATGTTGATAATTACATAATATTTCTGTTGATGACGATGAGTAATTCGATAATCGTTTTTTTGAATCTTGATCTGAAAGTGTAAAGACATCGAGAGGAAGACAAACAATACAATGATAATTACATAAATCATATCATTAGTATTTACCCATAAATGACAGTTTTATTTACAGTTGAAAAACAAAATATTTATTTACATACGATTGGTAGCCAGGTACAATATCACTAACCTCTGACTGAGGCTGTGAATCATGTTGGTCGACTATCTAATTTGTGTCAAGATGATAACTGAGATCGTCGGCTGGGTAGCATGATTTGGAATCGACTACAATGGGACGGATGCAGGTACTTTTTATTTTGCTGTAGATGTTGAAGCCCAGTATATATTCATACAAACATTCCCACTTTATCTTTTCGAATTACGTTTTCAATGTTTATTCTTCTATATCATTGCTGCTACTACATAATTTTGATTAATTAGGCGTTAACTTTGTTGATTTCATCTTACCGAGTTATTTTCTTCCGCATTCATTTTGCAGAGTTATCATAACAGCAAAGCTTTATTCCTGAAATGTTGTTACGTTCTTGTGAATAGGATATATTTCACAGTGCATGAGCAGTAATATGGGTATGCTTTATGGCATAGTTATTTTATAATTTCAGTAATATCCACTCTGAGAGATTAGATATACACCATTCTATCTTCAATGACGGGTGATGCAAAACTGTTACCGAGCTTCAGGGTGAATAAGAACATAGAACGAATGAGATATCACGTAATTTTCGATTGTAGTTCCATTGTCGCGCTACAAAGCATGCAATATTCATCAATATTAGCCCCTAATATTTATCATTCTTCAAATGTATAATAGTTACTTAAGGATGATGCCATCGGGCTGCCACATGAAAATAATGAAACGCGGAGTGACAATGCAGATGAGCAACTTGTCTTTTAATGACTTTCACAGATGCTTAGAATAATGGAAACGGAAATGGGAGTACTATCGACAACATAAGATCAGTATAGTCTAAATTCTATAAAATGAAGTTTTTAGAACTTTAGTAAATAGCTTTTAGAACTAAGCTGTAACAGACATGTTGAAATGAGGAATGAGTTTGAATAAAACACATTCAAAGGTCAATACACATTAGACATTTTATTTATTTAACTTGAAGACTCTTTACAAACGCGTATATATAGAATAATAAATAGTTAAGAAACCATCAGAATGAAAGTCACAAAACCAGTAAGGCCTTACTTCTCATGATATAAAATTTAAAATATATAATAATTTATCGCTGAATATGGAGTAAAAAGGGTGATTAAAACCAGCCAGCAGGAAACTCTAGAACTCTGTTTTGTGTTAATAGAGCGTTTTTAGTAAGGCAAACCTATGGAGCTTCTCGTGGTTTGCTTACTCACACAGATCAGTATCACAGTCTGACGAATAACTATTAAAGTATTCAGGTCACGATTAATCCCATGTAAGACTGAAATAATTAAAATGGTTGATCACCGAGCAGTAACTGACATCATGTCCATCCAGTAATGACACAATTTTATCAATGATCAGTCAGTCAGTCAGCTACAACATAGGACCAGGCACATATATGCATCGGTTCACGTTGCCACACCCCATTAACACAACAAGATCAACACCAAATTCATAGAAGTAGGCACTTCATTGTTAGTGATGTATATAGATAAAGATTAAATATAGCAATATGATACAGGGAGAAAGAATTAGTTCGTAGAAAGAAAGGTAAGGCAATTTTAATCTCACCGTTTAACGGATGACAAATAGTGTATACACCGACACCATTGTGATCGATTCTGAGCCATGTTACCCAGAGTCTACAACCATTGGTTACCATAGTCGCGTGGACCCCGACCAAGTAGTTTGCATCTACCAACATGGGTCAGATCACAGGTTAGTGACTTTAAGGATTGATGCCACGTTTTGGTTTGGCCACCCCTAACTTTCTTCCATCTGTCTCCAACACCAGTCAGTACTGCGCGTCATGGTAAATGATTCAACACAGTGAACTCAATGTTCAGTCACTTAAATTGAAATATTGCTGCTTGGTCGTTGGAATTCAATTAGAATTAGATAAACATGATATCGGTAACTAATTAATTAGTGGTCAACCAACGATAATTATGACAATTAAATATAACATAATTAATTGCATATAAACGGAAAGCACAGATATATCAACTTACCTAAATTACTATAACAGCTCTTTGAATTAAGATAGAATTTTTCATTATCGCGATAGTGATGATGACGACGACGATAATGATGATGGCTATGCTCAGATTTACCATTTAAATTAGATGAAGGAATGGAATCTAAATGTTTAAGAGTTGAGCTGATTTTATTGAAAATCGGTATTTTCACATTTATTTAGGATGTGGAACACATAATCACATCCAGAATTTTATTATCGACCAGGAAAGCAGTAAGAAAGAAGAAAATAATGTATCACGATCATAAATATACTTCATATCATTCCGTGAGAAGTATATACATCTATACTGATAAGTTAAACTGAAGCTTAGTTCACCAGTTTTTGTCAAACTGATATGAACACTGAACTGTATACGAAGTTAATAAATCAACAAACGACTTTTCTGCTTCATGCTTACTTAAATCTCATTTGTAATTCGGAAATTCTAGTTTCAACCCCAGTATTGTGGAAAAATATTAATAAATTGTAGTTCTGACGAACAAACTTTGATTGAGAGTTTAGCATTGATATTTGCTGATATCTGATTGGTTGTTCTCGAACTTATTTCCCTATTTTCGCAGTCGCAACTGTCATATTCGTTGTTATATAAACGGAATTGTTCTATTATAATTTTTATTTCAACTAAGAATATAAAAACTCTCCAGAAACTTACATCTGTTTTCCACATTCGCATGTGGATTAATAACTTTGGGACGTTGTTGTTGAGTACTAACCGTCTGATCTATCTAGTTTGCATAGATCACAATTCGTATAATAAAAATCTATCAATCGTTCGTAATTTTTAATAACTGTAAGCTGTCTCAAACAATGATAACATTCAAGTAATTTGATTCCGATAAGCTTAAATTCCATGGTTAAAAGGTGGTACTTTCACCTATTGGGGATTCGTGTAGTCAGGTGGTATCCCCAGTTTTAAAACGACATACAAATGAACACTACATTGCTTGATTTGTATAAACATCTCCCACTTCAATCAATATTTATATTCACAATTAGGTATGTAAATCATGTATTAAGGCGCAAAAAAAAATAACAAAGAGTTCAGCGAAAGACACTAAGTTCACTGATGAAAGCTGACAAAAATAATCTAATTCATAATATCAAGAAGACATTCATGAATATTGTTTGTTTATAATAAAAACGATGCTACTCATTAAATGATTAGTAGTATAGTAAGATTTGTCGAGATTGTAGGATTTTCATACTTGAAATCACGAACTGATCTTGGCTCGACCATCATCGAAAAACTGAAAAAATTGTAAAGACTCATTGGCAGTTAGCATTCACGACCTCGTATCCGAAAAGAAAACTCCTGGAGTTCAAGTGGTCAGTGGAGTTCGACTACGTCGATTGTGAGACAGCTTCCACTGCAAAAAATGTGTAGAGGTTGAGGAATATCGTGAGTTGATTGACGTTAGACACATACACCACTGAATTACGTCCTAGTGATCAAACGTTCATGCACGAGACAGAAGATCTTGGGTCTGACACCCGGTCGTGGATATGTAGTACTGAAAAGTTCTATATTGAGACGAAACAGGCACCCAGTGCTTCCATGTTTTCAATGACGATTGAACTAGGATCAATTCGTGATCGAAGCTATGAAGAAGATTGGCGGATCTAAAGAATAAAAGGTACTTAAAATTTCTGAAGGTTCGTCTATGCACACAAAAATTTCCCAGTATTTTATGGGAACTATCTGCCATAACTTAGATCATTAAGTGAGGATCGATGAAGTTAAATGAATAAAATTATGAACAACAAATCTAGGTCAATTGACATTTTTATTAGGCGCTGCATATAATATTCATACTGAGGTACAGACTATTTTAGAATGTGGTGTCTTCTATCCGATAGATTAGAAAACTAACTTGGTTGATTAAAAATTTAAAACTTTTACGAATCTTCTCACTAGTGATTCAGTGGTCGCTGCCCGCTCCCCACACTATAAGCAAACAACATTTTGAAGATAAAATTAGACAGATACGCATAGACTTTTTATATTGTCCTCAGGTACAACTCTGTCAAAAACTATTCAAAATACAGCTCTAAGAATTTCATTTTATAGAATTTAGACTATACTGATCTTATGTTGTCGATAATACTCCGCATTTGTGACAATACACTTGTCCCATTTGTGTTTCCATTATTCTAAACATCTGTGAAAGTCATTAAAAGACAAGTTGCTCATCTGCATTGTCACTCCGCGTTTCATTATTTTCATGTGGCAGCCCGATGGCGTCACCCTTAAGTAACTATTATACATTTGAAGAATGATAAATTGTAGGGGCTAATTACGATGAGAGAAAGTGATTGATCGGATAGATTATCGCGGTGAGAGTGGGATTTTAAGTTCAAAGTGAATAGTTGTTTCTCAAGTTATGTTCATGTCTAACAATCTCAGTAGTTTTGGTTAATATGTATACTGGAGAACAGATCACTTACATTATGATTAAACTGAATAAGAAGTATTGATAAACATGAACTAGAGCAACACATATAAGCGAATAATACTGTTTTTAACATTACATTGGTCATAATATCATTGTGCACTTACCAGGAAGTTACAGGGATTTGAACTTTTTTCACCGCGCAATAATCAATGTTAACTGTTTTTGAATCACATTGAAAACTATTATTAATAATGAGGGAATTAGTAACAGTATTACAGTTATTAGCATCATCATGATGATTAGTCCTATTGACATCAATATTTTCATCGTTGTTTACATTAGTCTTTGTATTACATATTAATAATGATGAAGAAGCAGATTTGGTAGTCTGAAGATGGAATGCAGAAGGGAGAGAGAGGTGGAAAATAAAGAGACATAGTAGGAATTGTTTTATTATTCTTGATAATTTTAGCATTACACTTATGTATAAAAATATGTCCGTGTACCACTTAATTAAAACGATGACATTTTTAAAATAGCTTGACTAAGGAGAGAAAGAAACAAAGTTGGAGCAAAAAAGAAAGGCCGGTAACAATCAATATACATTTCCTTTTCGTCATTCAAGTTTAATAACTAGATTCTTTGTCTATATCTCTCATTTATTCACTCATTCATCCACTCTCTATCTGCTTATTTACGCTAATGAAATGCCAAAAAAATTTCCTGAGTATTTTTTCTCATATATAATTTATTACATTACTATTTTATTAACTTGTCTTAATAAATTAACTAATTAAAAGAAATATCCGAATACACTGAGTAGTAAAAGCATTTTTGGGAGAGAGAGAGAGAGAGAGAGAACGAGCGCAATTGACCTTGTCATCGGTAAGGGATGTTGTGTTTCTCTGGACATTTTTTAAAGACAATCAACAATCTTCAGTCAGTCACAACGTAAAAACTGTACATGTGTACGCCATACCCGATTAGCACACCAAGATAAAACTGCTAAACCGAATCTCAGAATAGTAGAGGTAGTAACAGTATCAGTGGTAATAGGAAGCATTATGCATCGAAGATACGGCTCGAAAGGAAAATATAAATTAGCTGAAGTTTAAAAAAAACGTTGTGAGGAATATAAAATCTCAGAATTTCAGGGAAGAAGAAGAATTAATGCACCAGCACAATTGGAAATAATCATTAGTTAAATCATCAAAACGGATCAATGTGGAAGTTGTGAGATCATTCTAAAATATTCATTTACATTTGAAGTTGATGTTGATAATTTTATTTAGGGTGACAACAAAAAAACTTTCAATTAAACTACATATTTCAGCGAACGCAACATCACTGCATGAATCTATCTACCTGAACTACAAATTTGTTCTATTAATTGGAGCTTTCTCTGTAAAGTAGTCGATTAATAATCTACCAAGTACACGGTAAACTAAATTCAAAAATAAATTAACATCTGTTCAAAATAAATAGTCACTGCGATTTATTGACGCCGATAGATAAAAAATTCCTCAAAAGAGTATTTATGTAAACACGACGGTTGAATACAGGTATGATTCACATGAAGAATTGCCACATAAAAAGGAATGTGTATAATCTGAATATCAATGTAAGAGGTTGGGATACAAAAATAATGTCTGAGAATTTGATCCCAATATTATTAAACTAGTATATCAATGTAATAAGTTAGTTTTATTTTGCGATACATTGATATAAGGAATATGTTGAACGAAAGTCAAACAAAATTTCTTGCCGATCACCATCTTCAAATATTGCTTAACATCAAAATATAATCCGTAAGATGTTAAAGTCAATTAGATCACTGGTCAAATTGCAAATCGACCAGTAGGGTTCGACCACCAGTAAGGATTAAAAGAAACTAGACAAATATGACATTGAACACAATCAATAATGAATTATCACAACACTATAATAACAGGAAATAATATTAGTCTCAAAGTAAAAACAATCTAATAACAAAACTTACTTAGTTCAGTCAAACACTGTGATGTGAAACGAAACACATTCTTATTTGCTTTCTATTTCATGTTTCTTTTATACAATGTCATAAAAGCAAACAACTGTTGAGCATAGAGCAATAACAAACAAACAAATCACAATATGAGAAAAGATTTGTCTCAATTCTTAGTTTTTTTTTCGATAAGGATGATGATGAATGTTACTTATAGTAGGGTAGTAGTAGTAGTAGTAGTAGTAGTAGTAGTAACGATAATACTATCTTTATATTCAATTCCATAGTAGAAAACAACCGATCAAATGTATAAACATTAAAGTATCACTACATGTAAGTGCATACATAAACATTTTGTTTTGAATACTACGTGAATAAAATATCTCATCAAATGGAACGAGAGGGAGAGGCAAACAGTAGTAGAATCATCAAAGGAGGTCTTTCAAACATTTTATGGTATATAAAAAAGAAGGGGAATATAATTTAGAGTGAGTTAACACTACAAGCAACAACAACATTAGATTTGTATCCGGAATGTAAAAATAATTCAATTCGTAAGGTAGATTATTAAATTCATTACTGAAAGTGGAAGAGTAAACAAAAATAGAGAAAAAAGGGAGAGCATATGTAGATGGTAAAACAAAGAGAACTTGTTGTGTATAAACAAAAAAGAAAAAAACGAAACAAAAAACAGTATGATAAATATAATTTCAGTGCATCAACTCGATCTATTTATATTATTGCTATAGGCCATCTCAGATTGTATATTTATCAGAGCAAATAACATCTACAACTAGTAGTATAAATTTTAAGACGAAGAAATTAATTAGTATCGAAGGCGAATATAATTAATCGTTTGTCCTGACTGTGGATGTTATTGGCTGGTTTCAATAACTAAATAACTATATAAGTGGTAATTACAAATGACAATCGTGATGACCTGATTTGAGGTTTAAAAATATTCTTGAAAAAACAAAAAAGCCTAACCAGCTGATAGCATTACTTTTCTCATTAACAGATAAACAAGTAATGAGTATGAAGATAATAAAAGGAAGCCGCTGAAAAAACAGATGTATCACTAGTAATGAATTCATCTCATAGATAACACTGTCAAAAGAGGGAAAGTTTAAATGCTCAAAGTCAACCATTAAATGAATCACAGCAGGAAAAAAATTCCAAAGTTAAATTGATGAAACAACAATTATGTTAAGTGTTTTCATCTTTTCTCTGTCAATAATCGGAAGAAAAACTCTAAATAATGTTGTTTAATGTGAGAATTAAAACAGAGAAATTAATATTCTTGAGAGTAAACAGACGAAAAACAGTTGAGCTTACTTAAATATATATTAATATTTAGGTACTGGAGATCACAATATTTATCAGGAAAGGATAATCGTAAAAAATACTTAATTAGTATGAAACAGGTGCATGCTCAGAGGAATAGAAGCGGGTAAACACACCCACAGACAGACATGCTAATATGCATACGTCTTGGATAATAAAAATCGTAACAGAAAAACAGGTAATTAAACAGATGATGAATCAGTGTAGAATTAACACAAAAAAACATGCAAACATATAAACACACGAAGAATTACAATGCATTATAGATAGATATGTAAAACAATGACTAGTAATGACTACATTCACTACAGATAGCATGATATTGAACAAATTATATAACATAGAAGTAAAATGATGAAAATGCAAACGACAAATGTTGTTGCATGCATTTATGCATACATATACACAGGTATCCATGCAGATAAACAAACAAGCCACGAAAAATTAATAAATGAACAAAAGAAATGATAAAAAAAGAGAGAAAATAAAATGTTAATGAGTTATAGGGATTACATGTAGATGTAAATATACATTTATATATACATAAGCATATATTCCTTAAATTGTAATTAAGTGATGAAACAAAACTACCTACCACACCACTGGTCAATAAAAATGACAATTACATTTCCAGCAAGAGTAATACACACTAATAACAGAAATAGCTGTGATAGCAATATTAATAAAAACAGGAACAACAGAGCAACACAGAATGAATATGAGTAACACATTCAATGAACAGGTGATTTTAACATGTTGCTTTTATGATATATATATATATATATATATATATATATATAGACCGGGATGTGATGTATAGTGATTGGTTATTGGTGCTTACTTAACAAAACAGATCAATCTTACATTATCCTTATTATGATTTAACTAATGAATATGCTAAACTTCATGCAATGAAACTGATGCCAATATTACGTGATTGATGGGGACATACACACACACAACGTAGGATAAGTCAATCGAATTTTTTTTAAAAAAAATGTTACTGACAAAAAACATTTAAGCAAATAATATAATTGGCAAGTTTTAGACAAGTGTTAATGGAAAATTTTATATACTCACATTTGCATAGGAATTATCGACATTTACAGTAGAATTATAAGTATTTGATTTTAAATGCAAAGTTTTTGACATTTCTTCACTGGACTATAATGAGAGATTCAAAGAAATAATAATAATAATAATGAAGGATTATGTTACGCTTATATAATATCATATACAAGAAAACATAGATATTACATAATATCGTACTGGTTATTAACAATAATTCAATTATCTATACGTAAAGAGCATGTCAGTAGGTTTTGTATTCAGTTCCTAAAGGAGGCAAGAACTTGAGGTCATAAAAAACTGTTCGAATTAAATCGACTAACCAATTTTTATCAGAAATGAACATGATCTATGCCAGTTTTAGTGATTATGTACTGGTTTAAGGAAAAAGATTACATCAAAAATTATAAAATACCATTTATATATACCATGTTTACACGATTAAATATTCAAAACTGATTGTTTAATCATAGCTGAACCAAATGGATAACTAACTATCATATTTAATGAAAGCAATTATTTACGATCGCCAAAACGATCACACTCAATGGAGTAGTTCTGTAAGAGGTGATAACTTTCGTATATCTGGGTAGCATCATTGATGAACAAGGAGGATTTGATGCAGACGTAAAGGCAAGGATTGGCAAGGCGAGCACATTTCTACAACAAAAAAACATATGGAGCTAAAAAAAACTGTCTGCAAGCCAACATCGAATTCATAATCTTCAATACGAACGTGAAGACAGTTCTACTATACATGGAGAACTCCCACAACTATTATTAAAAATGTACGAGTATTAATGAACAATTGTCTACAAAACATGCTCAATGTTTGTTGACTGGATACCATCAGCAACAACCTACTATGAGAGAGGACAAATCAGCTTCCAGATGAAGAGGAAATTAGGAAAAGAAGTTGGCAGTGCATAGGAAATACACTGTAGAAATTATCGAACAGCATCACGAAACAAGCGCTAACTTGGGATCCTGGAGGAAAACGGAAAAGAAGGGGGCCAAGGAACACACTGTGTCGAGAATTAGAAGCAGATATAAAAAGAGTGAATAGCAACTGGAAAATATTGCCCAGGACAAAGTTGGATGGAAAACGCTGGTGGGAGGCCTATGCTCTTCCACGAGGGGTAACAAGCGTAAGTAATTAAGTTAGCTACTCTCTGAAGTTCTAGCGAGGATCCATAACCAGTTAACTTCAATCACTTAGAATGTGGGGCAGTTACAAATTGAAGGCAACGGAAGATGGTAGAGCCAGTAACCACTGAATATTGATCCAGCAGTCTTAAAGGTTATGGACTCTGCGCAAAACAAAGTCTTGGGTTCGATTTCTGAGAATATTGTGGGTTTGTACTGACGAAGTGGCAGGGCCGGTAGTTCTTAGTTTACGACGATATCTCAACGGAGATTAATTCGTGTCGAAGGCAAGGTACAAATTAAGCCGACCGCTACAAACCCCTTCAACTAAAAAGAAAACAATCATCAATTGAAGTGACAATAATACAACCTATGTGCCATGGAAGAAAAGCAAAGTATGGTTGTTTTGTTAATGAATGTAATCGACAAAGGAGAGTAAACAATTTACAGGGAAACAAAACAACTATGATAAAAAAAATATATTGCTTGTTTTTCTTAGTATTTCCATTTGCATTTCCAAAATTACTTTGCCCCTTTTTACCACTATTTTAGCTATTGTTAAGTAGTCATATAGGATTTGATTTGAAAATGATGAGCAAAATAATCTGTTTGTTTTTTCCTTCTTGTATTTCTGTGCACAAACACAGAAACAAACATACGAGCAAACGAATGAACGATATCTAGTAAAAAATATTAGAAGAATTACACATTACTATTTTATAACCAAAACAAATATATGTAAATTGAAAAATTGATATGAAGAAAGAAAAACGTACAGAACAAATTTGCTTTAAGAGGGATGGTAGAAATGAGAACAAAAAACTAGTTTGAATAGAGGTTATTCACCTGGTTTACACCAACGAGGTAAATATAATTATTATTGTAACTTTTGTAATTAACTTATAGAGAGTTATTATGTATTTTTATTGTATAATTATTATTAGAAGTTTGGACTACTGTATTCTTATGTTTTCAAGTTTGCAAGCTTTCGTTAGGTACGTAAACTACTATTATGTGTTTTTCTTTCCTTAAGTTAGTGATAATTAACTGTGAACTTATTATTCAGCTCCCTTTTACTTATGGCGTAGTTATGTCTATATTGTAATATTACTTATATCAATTGAGCTATCAGTCGAAGGAAGGTCATTGGTCTTCTATATTGATAATCTGGGCGGATTAATCAATACTCCATCTAGATAACAACACAGATACTCTTATAATAACAGTTCTCTAGTACAGCTCCCAATACAATTCTAGAATATGTTCTTTTGCCATTAAATCACAACCATACTGTAGTAAGAAAAGGTAAAAGAATAATCATAAACAATGTCCAATGTATGCAGTATATGTTAAATGTAAGTTGGAAATTAGGGTTTGACGAATTTCTAATCATTTGCAAGAATTGTTATCTAGTGAAATAACTGAAAAAAAAGTGAGTATTAAACAAAACCCGTACAACTATTTGATGCAAACCATATTTGGAAAAAACGAGCAGTTAATTTAATAATCGATTAGATCTAATTATTTGAACTCTCAATAATGTTAAGGGTAGTACAGTGTTAGTGTTAATACAACATTTGTTTACTACTGTACTTCAGATTACGATGAGCATGCCAACAGTAGAGATTATATCTAATTCAGCGAATTCAAATAGAAAGGTATAACACGTTTTCCGAACTTAGGGTTGATGGTTGAGAAGAGTGGGTTTAAATAAAGGAAAAAGACAAGTTAATTGCACTCAGAGGACAATACAAAGTATAGATATCTATAATTGTAAAATGTTGGTCAATTGAGTATCTTGGTACCTGCGCGATTGTAACCGAATTGGGCTTTGTGTTGGTCAGTCTGAAAAGAGCCTGGTTGGTGTTTAATTATTTTGAAGACTGAATGAGCCATTTGTAAGTCATATTGAATTATATCGGTGTAATTAAGTGAAGACTACCATAGTATCGATCAGTTGAAGTAACACTATGACTACTACTACTACTAATAGTAATAGAAATAAGTCGACTTTACCTTAATCATCCATCGATTAATCGATAATGCGATGAAAAGATCGACAACTTGCGCTTTGTAATAATTTCCAACATACATTAATGGTTATAAAATAAATACAACTTGGTATAGAGAATGCGAATGAAATAAGAATAAAACTGAAGTGTAATTTATATTGCACCAAATCAGAAACGGAAAAGACAATGTAAAAATTCAGAAAAATTGAAAAAGTAAAGAAATAAAAGAATGTAAATTTAGATTACATTAGATAAAGAGAAGAAAACAAAGAACGGTAATTATGTGTCATTTATATTCTGTATTCAGCATAAAAACGATGTAATGTCACTTTTCTAGGCCATATTATCATGCTTTGCTTTGCTAGCGTACTAAAACGTATAATGAACTTTGAAAAAAAATCAGAACAATTAGATCTAATCCATTATTAAATTAACTGCTCGCTTTTCCAGATATAATAATAGTCATAATAATTATCATACCAATAATGATAATAGCACTCAATGAAAGAAGCGTTTGAATTAACTTCTAAAAAATAAACCGACAAAAGAACGGAAGGTTATCAACATGGTTTTTTGGTCACAAGTAAAAAGCAGACAACCATGTGGATCAAATGATGGATAAACATAGGGAACCAACAGATATCATACTGAATAATCGATAAACAATAATAGCAAACGAAAAACACAAAATATTAATAAAAGTTACGAACAACAGATTGTCAAATTATTCCCACGTTTCAACACACTATTGTCTAATTTTTCTTATTTAATGTCTTGATGGGTGTATTCCGTTTACTAATCAGTAGGGATTTTAACTTTTTCGGTGTTGCTCATATTCGGGGTTACAAGTGATCGGCCTTTGTTGGTATATGACAGGTTCTGAGTGGATGCCTTGATATTCCCTTTTAATAACAAGGTTTTTCCAGTATATTTGAATTGCGGTTAGTAGTGGAATCCAAATACAGTTTTATATAACGTTAGGATTGATATTGTGGAGTATAATATTTAGAAATTAAAGCACACTATAAGGAATATATTTTAAACCACTTTTCAATACCGTAACTTAATACTTTCAAGTTTTATTATATCATCATGTCATTGAATCATTTGGTTTCAAACATCAATCTACTGTTTGTTAGGGATGCAATTTAGAGATAAAGATCTAAGTAAAAATAAGTACATTGATAAAACTGTAGAGAAAAAATGTAACAATAAAAAGTTAGTGGTAAATAAAAGGTTAATTTAGACTGAGAAATCGTCAGTGTATAGAAGTCAGTTATTCAATCAATATAAATGCCATGAAACTTAGACATTCAATAGCTAAGTATTATGTTCACGCTTTAAACAGTTAAAGAATTCGTATCATCAGTTATTCAATTTACATAGCCAACTCACAGCATCTCTAACGTTTACAAAAAAATTTTAGTCGAATATTTAGCATTAAGACTGTAGCATGATTAATTATTACAGACTCCGAGTTCATTCAAGCACTAAGTGAGAGTGGTTGAAAAGTTATTGGGTGGCAAAAAAATGATATATTACCATTTGGTCTTGATCTATGTTTTGTCGAAGGATAATGTTAAGGTTAGTCATTAAAATGGAAAGTTTTCAGAAATTACTAACCTATTAGAATTTACATAAATTAAAGCATTTAACAAAAATTAGTCCACCAGTACAGAATTTCTGACCTTGAACTACTACAGTACAAGTTAGAATGTCACGGGTGTTTTTTTCGAAGTTGAATGTTAATTAAATAAATAAAATCTATGGGAGTTTGGCTGATGAGGTTATTTGGCAGACTGGAAAAAGCAAGAATTTTAAAGACAATATTCATAAACTATGAGTAAAGCTAGAGGAACGTAATTGTTTAACTTTGTTTACCTAATTAACCGAACTCACTCTTGATCATGTTTAAATACTTTCTTGAGTTTTAGACGGAAGACTTTTGATTGTTCATAATAATGGCAAAACATTATTATTATTATTATTATTATTATTATTATTATTATTATTATTATTATTATTATTATTATTATTATTATTATTATTATTATCATTATTATTAGTAGTATAGTAGTATTAGTAGTAATAGTAGGAGTAGTAGTAGTAGGTAGTAGTAGTAGTAGTAGTATAGTAGTAGTAGTAGTAGTAGTATGTAGTAGTATTACTAGTAGTAGTATTAGTATAAATAGTAGTATTAGTATTAGTAGTAGTAGTAGTAGTAGGTGTAGTAGTAGTATTAGTAGTATTAATTATAGTAGTAGTAGTAGTAGTAGTAATAGTAGTAGTAGTAGTAGTATTAGTAGTAGTATAGTAGTAGTATTAGTAATAGTAGTAGTAGTATTAGTAGTAGTAGTAGTAGTATCAGTAAGTAGATTGTAGTAGTAGTAGTAGTAGTAGTAGTAGTAGTAGTAGTATAGTAGTAGTAGTAGTAGTAGTAGTAGTAATTCATAAGTTAAAAGGAGTCCCTAACATTGTTGAATGAAAAACAAACTGCAAATATACGAAGGACGAGAAAAAGGATATTATAAACGACTTCAAAAAATAGTAGACTTCTAATGAAATCAGATTCCTTTCAATTAAGTTAATTGGTTAACAGTTTAAAACGTTTATTGCATTATTATTAATAATAATTAATAAAGCAACAATGATAAAAATGAATAATGGTGAATGATATGAGCGGAATTAGATTCAACTAACTAACCTGAGAATTTTGAATTAGACAGAGAGGATAAGAGGTGTTAGAGAGATTGGTGGATTGTTTTTGTGATTGTAGATGTTGTGACGATGATGACGGTGATAAGTTGGTTACAGCAAGATGATTAGATGATAAAGAGTATTTTCCAGGTGGATTACATGAATCATGTGAATTCCCCCCGGCCATTGAAACAGATTCCGATGAGTGTACTACAGCAGAGACTAGTAGCGGTTTTGAATTAGCACTATTATCATTATGTGATTCTTTTGTTGCCTAAAAATTGTAATAAACAAAATTTAAAGAGTTCAAATATATATATATATATATATTTAGTTAAAATTGACCATAAATATTATAGAGTATTGTTATTGCAGGTTGATGGAGTGATCATAAACTTACATTGACTGAGGTATTTGGGATATGAATGAGTTAGGTATGGTCGATCATAACTTACTTCAACGCGCTAGTTATAGCAAATTAAGTTGTTCACCATATATCTACGTATTAGTCACGCTCCATGTATGAGATGATACTATCCAGTTTCCTAAACCGAAGTACATAAAGCGAGATTTGAACTCCTTAAGAACAGAGACACTACTGCACTGTGTTACGAATAACAAAGAAGTTCTAAATCAAAGATTTAGAATGCATAGTCAAAGTTATAAATGTTGGTGACATACTATAAGATTATTTATCTTATTATACATGTAGGAAAACATTACTAACAGAAGCATTTCTACAAAATAAATAATAAAAGTGAATGTAATTAAGCCATTTTAATTTAGTCAGACGACATCCAAGTACTTCTTCATGGGGATTGACCTCAATACTTCATACATCAAAATTTTAGCAACCAACTTCTCCTTGAATTACGAGTTGATAGTGTTATTCAAAAGAACAATGAAACTTCAGAGATCACATTTCCAACATCATCTCAAGCTACAAGTATTCTTCGATCATTCACTCATGACGTAGTAGTAGTGTACTGGTTCATTTCATTATTGAAATGAGATATTTTGATCAATGAGACTTAAAGATTTCAGAACTTATCATAGACAATTATCATACACATATACTTACCACTTCCGAGAAAGATTTACGCTGATTAGAACTGGTGATTTTATTCATTGCATTCTCACTTTTATTTTCCATAGAATTTGTATAAGAATTATCTGGATCAATTCCATCCCGAGGTCGAGCAATCAAAAGATGAACACATGGATGAGGAGATTCATTCAAATCTTTTGCAATAACAGATTTTAGACGATTAAGTGCATCAGTAGTAGATAATCCAGATAAATTTTGATCATCTATAGTTAATAAACGATCACCAACTTGTAAACGTCCATCCTAAAATAAACAAACGATAAATGTCAGTAAATTATTTAGATGCAGAAAAGAGGCGTGCAATAAAAATTTCTTTATTATTCCAAAATATGAAGTCATCCCAATTACTTGGAACATGGGGAAATAAACAATAAAGAATATCTTGAGAGGAAATTTATAGATGTTCACTGTGTGTAAAATCAATTAAAAATGTAAAACGATACCTAACGATCAGTATGCATTTATGTACAGTGTAATGTACAGAAAGTAGGACATATAATGCATGTTAACTCGTTTTTTTGGTTAGTTTCAATGGTAGTGAGTTGTTTAGGATATAATACTTGGCATAGCGTTTATAATAACTAACAAAATTATAGTGTAAAGGATACAAATCCTTCGAATTGTAATGAACTGAAAATTTCTCAAGATAAGATGATATGTTGACAAGTTGCAATGATTAAATATGTGATAAAACTAACTACTTGTTTCTTTCTTGTATTGATCTGTCAGTAAATAGTGAACAAATATCATGGTTATGTAGTATCTAAAACCAACCAAATTTTATCTAGCAACTTCATAATAGGATTATTTCAGCCGGATAACGCGATATCTCCTTGTACCTAAATTGATATTCGATAGTTAGAGGCTATTTTAATCCGCCGCATGTTACGCAATTTGAGACAGGAACGCATAATCACTTCCAGTGAAACTGAGACTATACTCCTGGTGATTTCTGATAGCCCCCCCCCAATAATTAGGAAAATAAAACATGCAGAAGTCTTATTATTATTTCGCCAGAAAATAATGCAGGACAAAACACATGGGTCCGAGAAGATTATCCGTTTATAGTGCTGAATTCAACTAAATATAGGAGGCTTAAAAATCCAAAATGGCGACTTTAAAGAATTTTTCTACGAGTTAGTTTGAATTGAATTCTCGGAAAATGTTACTTTAAGAGGAAATCTCCAGATTCATATTGATTGGGACTCATATCAATCATTCCACTCATGGCAAAATTATAGGCTCGAACTCACACTATCCTACGCAATAATCACCGACGTTACCAACCAGTTATACAGGTCTTTTATTGTTTATCTTTACTGTTTTAGGTAACACTATCACGACGTTATTATGGAAATGGCATTAGTTACTAATACATTGTTATACACAATTAATCTCAATAGCTAGAGAAAGCTGTGTGGATGCACAGTAGGAAAATAATAATAATAATGTTAACAGAAAATTATTTTGTCTGTAATATTAATTTGTAAGAATTCTCATGCATTGTAAACATTCCCATATTATGTAGATTTTAGATTATCTGTTTTATTTCAGTTATGTGAAAATTCTGCATATGGTCAATTAATTGTAAATTATAAGCATATATATATATATATATATATATAGAGAGAGAGAGAGAGAGAGTTAAGCATTTATATTCATCTGAAATGGATTATACACAATTAAGTAAACATCAACATTTACACTTCATATACAGAAAACTGGTGTAGTTGATAATAGTTTATCGCCAGGAACTGACTTTAGGTAGATAAACATGATTGTATACTTTAAAAACCTGTCAGAGATCAAAACTAATACCTACAGGCTTTGTGGTGAATGTATTTCTGTTAGACAATTAAGCTTCGATGTAATAATTTAAATACTCAACTTAAGTTGATTTGCAATATTATTTGACAGTTGTTCATTGACAAATGTGATATACTTGTCTCACTCCTGAAATGATGGTTAAACTCCACCACTCAGCTTTCTAGTAGAACAGCACAAAATTCGAAATAGTATTATGCAATTAATTTAAAGATTGACAGTTTAAGAAAGTTTAACATAATTAGTTCCCTAGATAAATTTGGACAGTGTAATAAAACGACGGAGATTATCAGAACTATGTGATATATTAGCGTAATATATGTCTAACAATCTGACCACACTTATACTTGTTAAGAATATTTATATATGAGAAATTAAAAAGGTCGATGAAGTTTAGAGGAAACAAGGTTAATAGAGAAAATAACATGAAACTCACCATGCTGAATCAAAAAACAATATTACCAGGGTAAGTTAAGGAAGAGAACAAACTGTTTTTGAATACATAAAAACGGTTTGGATTTTCGTATGGCCAAAAATCGAGTGAATTATCCACACATGATGTTAAGATAGTCAGCGACGAAAATTAATAATCAGAATTCATGTTCACTGACTGACTAATTGGTGACCTTCTGAATTTCAGTTAATATATTTTGTGTTGAGTATTTTGTAAATAACCAAGTGTATTATTAACTGAAAACGATATATTTTACTGGTCATTAGTTCAATTTTGTTAATATCCAAGTAATATAAGTTGAGATTACTTATTACCAAGTTTATGGTACTATTACGTTGCATTTAATTTTTCACAAGTCATTCTGATGACAAACTTAAACAGATATTACATAATTGACCAACATCTATGGGGGTCATATATGTTTAAACTGTACAGAAATACAAACCCATTATAGTAACGAAGAATCGATTTCACCTGAGTGAATATTACTGTTCAACTACGTAAAATGTAATGATACATGGACTGGCTCACTAACTGATTTCAGTACATTGTGACAATAGCTAAAACTTTCAATCTCTGGAGAAAACTGATAGAGTAGCAAAACCTAATCATTAATAGAATGTAGAGAATAATACCATAAATAGTAATGGAAAGATTTTAACATTTTTTGTTGTACATCATACGTAAAAATTATGTTATAAATAATCTCAGTTATTGAAATTTAGATAAATCCAGGAATCTTGTATAAATTTTTTCGGCGAATAATTTCTGCCAAACTATTCGTTGGTCAGACAATCAGTAGTGAGCTACTGTTGCAGAGGACAAACCAGCTTCCAGTTAAGGAGGAAATTAGGACAAGATGATGGAGGTGGATAGGTTACACTTTACGGAAATCATCAAACCGCATTTCGAAGCAAGCCCTAACTTGGAATTCTCAAGACAAAAAGAAAAGAGAAAGACCAAAGAACATATTGCGCCGGGATTTGGAGGCAGACATTAAGGAGCGAATAGCACTAGGCAGCAAGTGGAAAGCATAACGCAGGACAGAGTTGGCTGGTGATTCTTGGTCGGCGGCCAATGATCCATGAAGGGTAACAAGTATAAATAATAATTCATTCAAATATTGAAGAATATTCATACAAGTTTTTCATTGTAGTCCATTAATTAATTTTTAACTATAAGTAATACAACCTAGTACTCATATACGTATTCATGTACTTAGCTGTGTAAATATTAGAAAAAGTACGAGGTTCTGCAAACCTAACCTAGAAGGAACAAAAATTGAATAAGCAACATGATTATTGATACTTGAGTGCTGCCACTATTAGTTATATCATCCATTAAAGTAAGAATTTTAATAAATTTCCCGAAGATCAACAAGAACTAATGAGTTAAACCATTCCCATCATATAACATGATATGGTGAGCCAGATCCTAACTGATTTGAGTGCGATTGATATACAATATTGATTTCTTTTTCAAATCTTCCGTGACATATAGACACATTTTAAGGGGTAATCACTTACATTAGTTACATCAGCTTGTTATAGGTAGTTAATTCTATGATACTATATATCTAGATTTATTCAGTAAATTATTAATTAATGTCAAGAACTACTTAGTTTTCTACATACAAATATGACTATTAATCAGTGTAAACTTTTTGAAAATTAGAGTATTTAGGTGTTTATTTAGACTTATTTTAAGCGTCAAATAAATCTTTATCTATTCACAATTGATTGATCACTAGTTGGTGATCAATATCATGTGTGTCAAGTCCTAGTCTGTAGTCTTCATGTTCTTACAAACATCGTTTGATTCACGGCTCTCGGTACCAGGTACTAAGTCAGTTAAGTATTCAGCAGATGCAACATAATATGCGTTCGATCACAAAATATGGCATTGAATATAGTGGCTGAAATCAGTGTGTATTTATATATTAAGTGTTAAGTCATATGAATAGTGATAATTAAAGTAAACAACTATGTAATCAAGAATCACAATTAAGAGGAAAAACTAATTGAATGAGTAGACAATAATGAATAGATACAATAGAAAAAGAATTGTATAATAGTTCAAACAATAGATCATAACAATTATTTTTTTATTGTACAGGTTTACAACCTTTTTCCTTTTGAATACAAAAGTCAGTTCAGAAACACCTCGTATTAATGCCTACTGAAAAGCGGAGTGAAAGTGGTATTTGTAGTTTATCAATAATTTTGAATGGTTTATGCTTTAACCTTTTCCTAATGTCGATTATACATTAAGTGACCAGTCGTTTCACATAGAAGAAACAATGTTTTCCTTAAGGCAACATTTCGAGTAATATGCTTAGAAAACCTTACAGAAGGCTATCTCAAGATTGCGGGGTACACCTTGTTGATGAGTGCCAAATAGCACGAAACTTGTCGACTACCACCAACCAATACCATATATCTATCTCAACATAGTACATGCGATGTCGAGCCACCTAGACTAGTGGTCGCATAGCAATTTAACAGGTAGAATTGGATTTGCACTAAGAATAACTTGACATTGGTTACTACTCAGTAATCAATCAATTATAAAAACATTTCTTAGTCCTTCATAAATACATCCTACCTCAAGAACGTGATATCCATAAATTCAACTGAAAGCGATAAGTGCAGGTCGTTAAACTACATTTCATTCATAACTATTTAAGAATCAGTGGAATTCAATTCATTTTATAAATCTTGTAGTTCTTTATTTGTTCACAATATTTTTTTTCTTTAACCAAGCTAATTTTATGAAATATCACTTATAGTATTAAAGAATGTGTTATATCAATTAGCTGAGAGATTTAAGCATGATCAATACATATACATATCCAAATGCGTGTTTACATTAAATACCCTTGAATTGGAAAATGGTAATTTATTATTTTATCAAGATGAAATTATAGCATACAGTATTGTTTTTTAAAAGAAAAAAGAATAATCACAAATGAATAGATAATCAGTAGGATTGTAACTGTCAAAATTTTACCAAAAAAAAACAACATAATCTCCTAACCAAAACTTTGCGTCTAACCGAAAATTACAAGAAGAAACAACAACAGAAAGATAGATTTTGGAAAAAATAATAATAAAACAAAACAATAAATAAGTTAAAAAAAAAGATAAATAAATAATAAACAAGTCATAACAACACTTACTTGATAAGCAGGACCACCATCAATTACAGTTCTTACAAAGACAGCATTCCATTGTGAATCATTAGTTTTATCAATTTGTACACTTGAATGTTTTTCATTAACAGTAACAGTAGTATTAGCAGTAGCAGTAGTAGAACTACTGAGTCCACCACTAAGGGCATCATTGCTATTAACACACAAATTATTTGACAAGCGTCTTACTGATACACTTACACCTAAGGTGACAGGATTACCTGTATATCGTTTAACTGTTGATTGATGTACAGTAGAATCTGTATATTGTCGTATTTTTGTAATTTTATCGGATTCATTGACTTTTGTCAAAGGTAAATGTATATTCAATAAATAAATTGACCAGTGAGATGAATCGATTTCATGAAGTTTATATGAAGGATGTGAAGGTGGAAGGGGATGGAGTTTTTGAGAGATGTCGGATGAACAACAATTCCATTCGGGTAGCTTAAAATAGAGGATATGCAAAAACAAAAACAAATGTGTAAGTTAAGATTTACGAGAAAATAAATTACAATTTTAAAAACTATTTTATGTTGAAAAAAGTCAGTAGAAAGTTTTGATGTCTTAGAAATAGTAGAAATATTTTTGATATTATCATCTACAAATTTTTTACCTAAAGATAAGCGTTTTACTTATCCAATGAGTTTTTTATAAATGCTAATGAACTTGGTACATCGACACACTACTAGTTCGAACGAATCAGTAGTACTTATGGTTACATCACTATAATGGTTTTTCCAATTAATAGGTAGGCTTCATATGTAACAAACATTTCATCTTGACGAAGATATAGAAAAGGAACTGGAGACATAAAGTGGTTGCGTATTGATTAGTTCAAATGAGATAAACAGAAGGATAAAACAACAAGAGGGAGACATACATTTTTTAAAAAGTACTAAGTACCTACAATTGAAAAGCGTAAGAAACAAAGGTAGTTAAGACAGAGATTTTGTAGGTTGACGAGATGCCTTTATTTGATCAATGTAAGGTTCAACCTAACAAGTGTCTGTTTGATCTAGTGTTTGGTAAACAATTCATTTATTACTAACCAACAGCTAGCATCAAACAATTCATTGTTATCTGCTTGATTATTTTACAAAAACAATAGTAATCATATATATGTTAAATGTATATATTTTCCGAACTCAACGAGAACAGTTCACAGCGGTAGAATGGGACAAGGAGAAATATTGTGTAGTATACTCATTTTCAACTATACATTAGAACACTTTATATGCACTGGAGGTATCACAAATAGATAGATAAACATAAACACGGCGATTTGCGGGAAGATAAATAATGAATGAATCTGCGTCACTGCAGCCAATTTTTAGACACGTTATTTTATGTTACATTTGAACTATAAAATATAAATTTCTTGTTGATTATAGGTAGGATGTCTGGATTTTAATACATAGCTAAAATCAACATCACAAGCTGATGAGATCCATAAGAATATTTCATATCGGAAATCGGGGTCAAGTCAGACATCAACTTATCAACTTCAGTATGGCTAAGTACGACTTTTTCTCACCCAAAGTATCATATGTGACCCTCTTCTCAAAACTTGTTTCAGGACAGTTATATCTTTTTAAATTTTAGGGGAGCGAAAAAGGTTAGGCCTATAGAGAGCTGAGTTAGTGACGAAAGCACTTCTAAGTTTGAGCAGAAAAAGAATATCAATATTATGCGCGATTACAGGACTAAACAATATTGACAATCAATCGCTTTGAACTTGTTCTTGTAGTACAGACAAAGAGGGTGTTAATAGTCAGTAAACTCCGGTTGATGTATAAAAAAGTTGGTCTGTAAGGGCATTAGGCTCTAACCACACAACCCTCAAAGCTGAAAACGAGAGAACTGGGAAAATAGATATTCAACATTTTATGCGGAGAAAAACACAACTATGGAGAAGGCGGAAAGGATTAATTGAATCCAATCAGATGGCATGGCTCAGCCTCGCAGGCGTGGTCATTCTTGTGTGTTGTCTTATCATTTTTATTCATATTAAATATATTTTTCCATCTCCAGCCTAAATGTGTTATCCACCATATATTGATGATGATTACGATAGGACGAGTCAGTGTAGACAATGATGTGACTTCCACGTGAGATCTTATAGATTAGGCACTCACATTATGACAAATGTACAATTTTAGGATTAGGAACAGTACTGATAACGAAATCTATGTGGAGATTATTTAAGAGTTAAACAAAGCGGGATTATTATAATTAAGAGTCATTTCGTGTAGAGATATTTTACTAGGTCACAGCAAGATGCGTAGTAATAGTCAGACATCAACTCATCAATTCTAATAAGGCTACCCAAATAACTGAATAGTTCAACAATCTTAACTGCTTTACTCTAATAACAAACTGGGCATTGAAATATACAAACCTTAAAGCGACATTGCTCAGGTAAAAAAGAGGTCCTTGATAAATGAATTAAATTATTCAAATGAATGTATTTTATGTAAGCTTTTCCACGAGTCATAAACCCAGTAAATATTCATTTTGAATTAGAAACATTAACAAAACCAACCATTAACTTAGAGCTGCATGATGGTGCAGAGCGCAACAGGGCTATTTTTGCGTTAATTATGTATATAGATGACTTGATATTAACCCCGAAAACTTGAAATCAGGTATAATATCTTAGTACAAGAGGCTTATTTATAAGTTCATAATTTATGTATTCAATTACAAAATAACAAACATTTATACTTTCTTATCCTAGAAGCTGACGTAACTATTTCTGTCAACAAAATCCAATCATAAAAACAAATGAAATAATCAAAACTTAGACTATAATCAACCTAATCTAAGGAAAGAAGTAATCCATTTGAAAAGTTTGATTTATCTCTTAGCGGATCAGAATGCAAGTAGTGGTAATAGTAATGGTAGTCGTAGTAATAGTGATAGTAGTTTGTAAACCATTGTTGGTTATTCTGTACACACACACACACACACACACACACACACACACACACACACACACACACGAAAATTACAATTAAGGGAATTGCGAGACTTTCATTATTGTTTAGATTTGGGAATTACAATTATGGTTCAGTCTAAAATAAGTTTTAAAGGCTAGTAAACATGAGCTAAGAAAACATCAAAATTATTTTCCTTGTCTTATTTCGTTCTTCGTATTGGAGAGAGAAAGCTATGTTTGAACACTGGATAGACTTTTCAATCTTCAGATCTAGCAGTTTGGACTAGAGTCAAAATTCACTGGTTTACATTTTCGATTTCAGTAAGTTTGCGGATAGAGAATGACAATCATTAAATGTCACCTATGACATCTGTATCGCTTTTAATATTAGTTAAATTCCATAAATCACGGCTATTCTTTTGAAATTACAAATCCATCTTGAAGCTAATGATTACCATAATTACTGCAAATATTACTATATAGATTGGTCAGTCAGTCAGTAACAACGTGGAACTTCGTACGTACGTACATCAGTTCGAGTTGCCACACCACATTAGCACAGAAATGCAGTTGTCGATTCAATCCCGTAGTGTTAAAGGTAGTAAGAGTACAAGCAGTAATCGGAAAGATTAGGGTTTGAAGATGTTATCCAAGGAGTATAAACCAGTGAAATAAACTTCGAAAGAGGAAAAAAGGGACATGAAGAATCCAGAAGATTAGAATTTGGGAGAACACAAAGAGTGTATGCACCTGCGCCATTGCAAACGATTTTGAGCCATGTCATTCAGGGTCTCTAACCATCGGTTGCTATCATCTCGCAGTCCCCAACCAGGTGGTCTACACCTACTAACATGGCTCACTCAGACGTTAAAAGCTCCTACATGTAATTTAGAGCATGGTTTTAGGAGACCAGGAATAGCGTTCCGCGTACTCGAATCGTTTGCCCTAGCGCTGCGAGGTAATAAAGGGACGTGAGAAGGGTTAGTCGAGTAGATAAGAGAGTTATTAGGAGGTGTAGGAAGGATTTGAATGTGACCAACTTGGTCTCGTGTGCTGTTACGGGTATGAGGGCTGATATCACTTCCGGGCTGCCCACACCGTGGAAGGGTATTTCTTGAGGAACCTGAAAAGGAAGTTGGATTAATGCTGGTCTTAACGACCTGGGAGCGTAACCGAAGGGTGTACAATCAATATATAGATGAGTGTATTTTCTACTAGAATCGTCGTCGTCGTATTTGTGTTCTTACTTTCGCGTCGTGGGAATTGCAGAGGTCCCTCGTTTCGAGTATAATTGATAAGCGTTTCCGACATAACAATCAACGACGACCAGATACAAAAGGTAGCATTAAAAGAGCCAAGACAATAAGCATTCAAACGACAAATTCTAACATAAGTATCACTCTACTTATTATTATTTTATTTAAACATATAAACCTTGGTATAAGGAGGCACCAAATATATATGTATCACACTTCGTCATTCGATTTATGTGAGGGCTGGAATACTGCACGGGCGTCAAACCGAAGCAGGATCACTCTACTACTATTATTAAGATAAATTTCCAAGTCAACGAAGTAGTTCAATAAATCATCGATGAAAAAAAGCTAAACTTCATTAGGGATAGTCAATAAGAAAAAATTGATAATGGGATATTTTGTAGAACAAAACACTAACTATCAAGTAATAGATAAAAAATATAATATGTACTATTGAGTGCAGAGCCTAGTGCATGAGAGTGAAAGTATTAAAAAAACTGTTATGTTTTAACAAACAAACACATACACAAAAATGAAAATCGATTAGAATAAACAGTAAATGGTAATAGAAAATACATGATTAGAAAAAATAAAAATATTGAAAGGAACAATTGTCTCAGAACATAATATCTAGTCTTCTTAGACCAGTAGATTTGTTGTATTGTTAATACCCTATATTCATATTTACAAGATTGAAATAAAAATTCTAGCAGAATAGCATGGATTCATTTTTTTTCGTAGGTTCTCGTCAGCCGCTTACAACCTGTGATATTTAAAATTATAATTACATATTGGGTTTAAATTACTTACATGAAAGAGTTTGGTCGGAAGTTATATTGTTATATTAAAGACATATTCGTATAGTATAGCAATACTACAGCTAGAATCTTTGTTCTTGCTCTTTTCAAAATCATAAAGGGAACTATGTGTATAAAAGATTGAAATAAACAGTTTATTACATTTTAATGTTTCTTTTGCAATTTACTTCTTTAATCAGAATCGTAGTTTGTAGGTTAGACACAGGATAACAGGGAATGATAGTAAATCAGTTGATGAGATTGTGAATCTGCATCGACTGGTTAAGCCACGTATTACTCATACTCAACCACCGAATACTACGGAGCGCCATGTTGACTAGTGTTGGAGATGGACGGAAGAAAGTTAGGGGTCGTCAAACCAAAACCTGGCATCAATCCCTAAAGTCACTAACTTCTGGTCTGAGCCATGTTGTTAAGTCCAGACTACTTAATTTAAAAGTTGTTATTGTGGTTATCCTTACCAGCTAGAGGCTATCAATAATTAACCAATAAAAAACAGTGTAACTTGAGGTATTTCTAGGAGACTTATGGGAAAAAGGTCAAAATCAGTAACTTACAATCAATAGTAATGAATAACAGAGAGAAATGTATGGATGCAACTTTTATCCCCCCCCTACATTCTGTTTTTATGAACTTGTTTTATTAAGCGTTTTACTTTCAACTTTTGACCTTTCACAGTATGAACAATGGTACTATTCCGTTAGAATTTTAAGTAGTTGATTAGTCTTTCACGTAAGTATTATACAATTGTAACAGATCTGATGTAGTTTAACGAATATTTTAGCAAAAAAATTTAAGACTATCATCTAGAAATCAGGTTGATTTAGTACAATATTATTCACTAATGGAAAAAATACAATTATCAATGCTAACCTTATCAGGTATTTTTATATCATGACTAGATGGTTGTTCCACAATCACTCTTTCATTATGTTGTTGTGTTATTAGTTGTGATGTTGATGGTAATGAGGATATTGAAGATAATATTGATTTTGTTGGTTGTTCATTTACAGTATTTATACAACAACTTGATGCTATTGTACAGATAACAGATGGTTGCATAGTTTTCAAATCAGGTAGACATGCTTGATCAAGATTATGGTCATTATTATTATTATTATTATTATTATTATTATTATTATTATTGATATCTGCATTATGGGAATTATTTCTTGATCGTTTGACAACTAAAGTAACAAAAGTATTTACAGGTTTACTTCGTAATAATGCAACAGTTTGTGCTTGACCAATTTCATTCACATCAATATTATCAACCTACATATATATATATGCATAAAAAATAGATAATAGAAAACAATTTTCTCTATTGACTTCCGAAATTTACACACAGAAAATAATACAAAGATTAGAAAATTGCATTTGCATACAGACAGTAGAACTATTATTTTCTAGAATATTATATTGTTTTTAAGTAGAGTTGAGTAGTGGTTAAGACTGGAATTCAAACAGCATATTTTATTTTATTTCAGATGCACGTGAATCCCAGTGTTGATGTTCACAGTGAAACTCGAACCCAGTACCTTTTGTCCTAAACGCTTGAAGTTTTATCCAACGAGCTATTGAGTGCAAATAGCCACTCACTTGTGTAACAAGGATGAATCTTAATTTAATTTGTAGGGATTTTTTTAAAATCTTCCCATTGATGTTAAGGACCGGAGTTGATCAGTCTTTTCCTGTATATGTGCTTTTTGAGTGGGCTGTCTTGATACTGCCATTTACTTACGAATGAATTGAAATTCATCCCTGTTGCACAAGTCAGCAGTCATATAGACTCCGTAGCTAAGTGAATAACCATACAATTTATTAGGTTAGTCTTTTTAATAGCATTAAATAACTGCTGACTAGTACTAAAAGACATTTAACTCATTTACATACCGTTTTATTTAGTGTTTCTAGTAAGTCAGTGTATAGAAATCTGACAAATTTGTTTTAGTTTCTTATCGAGGTCGGAGAGAGCTGAAATAGGTTTCTCGGCATAAATTAATTCGGATAAGTCTGTGGAGAACTACTAGCTTTTAAAATATTTCTTGTTGAAAATCTTTAAATATATTCACCGCTATTCTTCTACCATAGATAGAATACTTCGCTAGGTTGACTAAACAAATTTTCATTGAAACCTGCTTCGTTTTGAACTTGTGTAACCTAAAGCCATGAAGTTAGAGATTCTTGATAACGGCTTGATTTATGTTGTATCACTAGAACTTCTATTTTATTATTGTAATTGTGTGGCAACATTATGTATGGTGAGAGCTAACAAGGTCTGCTTCACCAAGATAGGTTGGAACTTTCAGAAGCTACGAAATCTTTCTTGATTAAACACTATCAAAATTTTTTATTTAAGGTTAATTAGAATAAAATTAGATAGGTTTTTTTTTCTTTAAGTGGGAGAAAGAACATTTATTTACCTTCATTAGAAGATCACCAGGTTTTAATTGGCCATCGATTAGAGCTGCTCCACCTGGTAGTATATTTTTCACACAGATAACTTTTTGACCCGATGATGTCAATGAATCACGACTAGTTAAACTAAATCCCAATCCATTAGAACCTGAAAAAACAATCAATAAAAAGAAACAAGAAACAGTTAAAACTAGGTACAGAAAACTGATATTTCCGAAAGACATTAACGTTAGATAATAATGCTGATGGCTATTTAGTTAAAACCACCGGAGGGCTTGGAACGAACATGTTTTGGACCAAGCTGTCACATCATATTAGCACAACGAAATCAAACTAACGAAATGATTAGCGCAGGTCAATCAGTCATACGCAAAGTAAAACCTGGCACACGTGCATCGGTTCAAGTTCCCACACTACATTAGCACAGAAAGGTAAGATTATTAAAAAACAGACCAAAATAGTAGAATTAATAGTAATTGAATCAGTAGTACAAAAGATTATATATAGAGATGAGAAAAACTATAAGGAAATTTCGAGACTCAAGATTCAAGAGAAGACAGAAAGTGAATGTATCTACGTTGCTGTGAATGTTTATGAGCCATTATTAAACATCTCTAACCATAGGTTACGATAATCACGCGGATTCCAACCATAAAGTCAGGGTCTATCTGCGTAACATATGTCAAAATTACTTCGTTAGATGAGGATTCAATCGACTCGCTATCGTCATCTAGTACTGTATGTCGAACTTTAACAATAACAATGAGAATAATTGGTATAACTGAATATGTAAACTTTAAGCAGTTTTTTTATAGATCAAAAGTGTAAGTAATTAGTATAAGCTCTTTCGATAACAATGAAAGCAAAAAAGGTGCATGAAAGATAAGTAATAGTAAAGCTATTCAGATATCTCAAGAAAATTGGATTGAAATAAAGAGATGGCAGTTATTTAGAATATTTCAAAGAAAGAAGGATAAGTGGAGTCCAGTATCAATTCAGACAATTGAAACGATGAGTCTTTCTGGGTCTCTTTAAGTTCAGCTAGTCACATGAGACCTTCTACCTGGATCACTGCAGCATATTAGTCTGACAGCAGAAATACCATTAGTTCACTAAATTTTAGAAGATTCGAAGCAAGACAGAGTAGTAAGTTCCGATGAATTAAGCATAGATGTTTTTAAAGACTGACCCACAACTAAGTAGTTTAACAGTAAATATTATCTGCCTTTAAACTCTGAGAATAGACATCATCGCTGACAGATCAAGTTCACAAAAAATAATAGTAAATTAATGTCATAATGAAAAAAGGAGAGATTTTTATTTGACTAACACAATGTTAACAATGTCATTCAGATATGATCAAAAATAGATTGTCCGACTGCGTATTTCATAATTTTTTTTCGTAACCTATTAAAGATGAAGTTTTAAAAGAAATATTATGGAAAGTGGTCATCGGTGTACAAGATCCTGATTTACAATTTAGAGTATGTTAATGAAGTCATATGAGCTGAAAATGGTCGGTTTCATGTCGATTAATTTTCGAAGACTTACAAAAGGCACCTTTGTAATGATGATATTACTAATACTAATAGTACTATGGGAATTAAATAACAATTGTGTTCACCCACAGATTTGTCGCTTTTTGTATCTTTTCTGTGAATTTGATAAAATTCTGTTAACTGAACTGAATAAAGTATTAGTAAATGTACTTATTAATGCTGTATGAATATTTCTCATCAATATTTTGAACGAAATTCAGGAAAAAAGAGTATTTACATACATAAGTGTACACAATAGTTAAGCACTGTGTAACAGAGTTGCATTTATCGTTTATCTCCACCCAAGAATTAGAGTTCCAATTGTCCTTCGTATATACCTTTCTATTTAACCATATACTTAAATATTTAGACTTTTTTTAACTATCGTTGATAGTACTATTATTATTATTATTATTATCTTAACTTTATTTGCTATTCATCTTATTAGTTCCATCCCATTGTACTAATATGGTGTATACATCAACCTGGAATCGCATGCATTATTATTGGATAACTCTATGTCAACTATATGACTAACTGACTATACATACAATATTGAAATAATTATATTATTATACAAGAAAATTCATTTTACCTTTGCATAAATGAATTGTATGATAAGTAAATGTGTGCAAATCATCACTATTATTAACAATATTTGTTTCTGAGTTGACAACAGATTTTGTTAATTCTTGTGATGATGGTAATTGATTATTATTATTTTCTTGTTGTTTTTTCTCTTTTAAAAATTCGTCAATTAATGGTTTAATAATTCCTTCTGGAATACGAGTTAATACAGTGTTGGGAGAACGACGAGGTGGTGGTGGTGGTATAGGTTTTAACTGATTTGAATTAGATTTTATTTCAACTTCTTTAGCTTTAGACAATGGATCGGATACGATAACAATTAGACCACATGAAGGTTTCTCTGATTTCTCTGTAGTTGTCCTGTTTATTTTATCAATGTTTTGTATAGATAGTGAAGAACTGTATTGGTAGGCTGAATGAGGAAGTACACGAAGTATTATTTCTGGTTCATTTAATGCCTCTTGAAATATATCACGACCCCTTGACAGAAAAGAAAAGGTATTATAAAAATATTTTGCAAGAAAAAAATTAAAATGACTATTAAAATAGAACCAATTTGTGGACATGATCTATATGATGTTGCTTAGATTTATTAGGTGGACTAACAGGATGGAATTTTATTGGTAATTTTCACCATAAACTGGCATAAGATTGAGAAGCATTGAAAATGAACAATACTAGAGAAAACAATACTGGGATGTAACTCATTTATTAAGAAAAGATTCGTGTATTCGGGTTTGAGCCATGCTTTATGTGTGAAGACTAGTGAAGGTTAAACACTCCACTAGACAGACTTCTTAACAGTATGAACTTCTACGAACCCAACTAGGATTTATGTGTACTACATGGTGAGCACGACACTTTTAGAGTACTTAGTCGAAGTTCAAATAGTTTAAATCTACACACTCAGTACATTCATCTTACAATGCGAAAATCATCTAAGTTCGTAAGTAACTACTGTTTTATTCCCGTGGTGTTAAAACCACCAGTTTTACTTATCGCCAAAACTTTGAGCGAAGCTACCGCAAAGCTAGTTAAAAATGGACCCTCAACGATGAATAAGATAGAGGGGTTAGATATTCCAATTAGTAGTTAGCTTTTAATATTGTATCAGCTATTCATGAAGAGAATAGATGGAATATAATTAAAATAACGTTATTTAGTGGTTCCTAGTACCGATTTTACTATTTGTCCTTAAAAATAACAAATAGGCCATCTAGATATTCACTAAATTAGCCTCTATTTATTCATGTTTAAGAAAAGATTAATCTTCATTTCAAATCTAAATTAACTCGTTCGCCAGGTACTTGGGTATGATCAACACTACGTGTGAGGGCTAATGATACTACAAAGTTGACCTATCCGAAGTGGTTGGAGAGGGATTTGAACCTGAGACTTAGTGGCTGAAATTCAAAAGCCTTAACCACCAAGCCGTTGCTCCAACCTCAAAAACCGATAGTTCAATACATAGTAGCGATGTTCATTAACAACAGAAAAAGGTTAGCCATCATCATTTTGCTACGTGTGATTAATGAATAACAATCTATATTTAAAAGTTTGTTGTGAATTACACAACGAGTGGGTTTGGTTAGGAATATCAAAGTGGGAATCTTCAATACGAACGTCAAGGCAGTTCTACTGTATGGAGCTGAAACTTGGAGAACTACAACAACCATCATCAAGAAGGTACAAGTATTTATAAATAGCTGTCTACGCAAGATACTCAACATCCATTGGCCGGATACCATCAGCAATAGCCTTCTGTGGGAGAGAACAAACCAACTTCCAGCTGAAGAAGAAATTAGGAAAAGACGATGGAAATGGATAGGACATACATTGCGCAAATCGTCAAACTGCATCACGAGGCAAGCCCTGACTTGGAATCCTGAAGGGAAGCGAAAAAGAGGAAGGCCAAAGAACACATTGCGTCGGATAATAGAAGCAGATATGAAAACGATGAATTACAACTGGACGGAGCTAGAAAGGATTGCCCAGGACAGGGTTGGATGGAGAATGCTTGTGAGCGGCCTATGCTCCTTCACGAGGAGTAACAGGCGTAAGTAAGTAAGGGTTTGGTTAGGATACTGGAAAGCTTTCCCGCGGATGTACAGTGTAGCATGGCTAATAGGTTTCTGATTCATGAAGTATGTTTGATTTATATCAAAGCCATAAACAAAAGGTGTACAGCCCTGGTGGTACTATTGAATATTAGAGCCAAAACTACACTATTAACGTGCATTCACAAAGACGTTATCTCTCGTAGTATTAGACTAGGTAGTAGTATAGACTCTCTAGCATAAGAAACAAGGTCAGTAGCAGCCCGAATAGTTCAGTAGTGGTTTCGCAAACTGTGAAGTTGAATGCCTCCGTTTCTATTCCACGAAGTAGTACTAGTCTCCTCAAAATTGCAGGTAGGCCTTATTTACCAATGCCACTGATCAAGAGACGTAGGTCCATGATTCCCTCCAAACAACCAAATAGAAAAAGAAAAACAAAAGATTGCTTACATTATGCCAAAAGGTTAACGGCACTATTTGTGTCCCAGGTTGGCACAAATTTGCTAAAAGATGAAAATATACAGATTAAGGTCTACTGATCTAAATGTAAAAAACTCACTAGGGTGCAAAGTTTCATGTTTAATTAAAACAGATGCACTACTGTTTTACTTCAGTAGAAAATAAACATAAATAATGGTTTATAAAATATAACTAACTTTTCAAATGGTATACCGCTTAATGAAATTCCATTAATACTTAAAATCCGATCTCCAACAGATAAACATTGCTCACGTGCTACACGCCCATTCGGTAAAATACAATGAACTTCAAGACCACATTCACTTAATAGAAAATAAGAAATAAAAGTGATTACCCATTTATTTTGCTTTAAATTAGACTATCTAAAGCATTGGTAAAAACTGCGATATTTTCAATAGATTTATAAAGGGTTATAAAGTGAATAGCGATATTCTCTTTTTCACTTATATACATCAACAGAAAAGATATTATGTCAAGAATTCTATTTCTGATAAAACTGAGTTCATAATCAGTTGGAATATATTACAAAAGTAAGACCACCGAACATGTTACGGATATATCACTTATTTATCATGCAACCATTAGTTTTAATTTAATAATCGCCAGGTTATTTAATACACAATACCTAGCCTGTCAGTTGTTTAGATGGTTTTCTTGCAACTTTTTGGTTGAGAAATCTATCCTAGTTTTATGTTGAGTTTAATGGAAGCTTTATGTTATATGTATGGGTACCTACTCCCTATCGATTTTTCACTTAAGAACCGTGGTTAGTGGTTAGATTATTTAAATCTTGATTTGTGAGACCCAGGTTCGAACCCTACATCAACTACTGTTAGGTTAGTCGTGTAATATAGTTAGCTTTCATAAAACATGTAATTCAAAAACTGGGTTGAACTAGTACTTAGCTACTGAGTTACGGTAATCCGGTGACGATTAATATTAACAGCTGTTTGACTGATGATACGAGTTCAGTAGTGTAGTGACCGAGTGCTTTTGTACTGAGTTAAGCCTCCGGTCGAAATACATTACGTAGTATGGTGTAAATGACAACTTAATTTCTGCATAAAAATATGGTTGGTGTACTGAAAAAATATTACGTCATACACTCCTCTATATTTATTTTAGATAATTATTATTACAATTACCTTAATTCTTATGTCTGATTTATTCCAGCTGCAGTCAGTCAATCATGCGTAACGTAGAACCTGGCACATATATGCATCGATTCAAGTTGCCACACAACATTAGCTTCACGGGAAGATATTATCAAAACAAACCCAAGAATATTAGGATTAACAATATTATCAGTAGTAGTAAACAGGACTACGCGTGGAAAAAAGAAAAAAAAAGTATGAGATTTCGAGACAGAATCTAAAAGAAGATAGTGAATTTATGTATACTATTGTGGAGAATTCCAAGCCATGTTGCCCATGATAATCATGGTGGACCTCAACTAGGTAGTTTGTATTCTAGTATTCTAGTTGCAAAGTCGAAATAAAACAAACAACTTGTAAATCATTTTACTTCGTAATTTAATTAAGCAATTATATGAAATGAAAGTCTTCACTTTATAAACCAGGCAAGAACAATACAAATTGAAAACGATTTCTAGTTGAATGCATTTCTTAGAACATAGTTTATACTACTATAAGTACTAATGTTTTATTGATAGAAATGAAAAGTACAGGAAATTAAATAATATTCATTTTTTGTAATATTTTTCGTTCCCTCGAAATCAAATCGTTACCTTTTCTTCCATTTTTATTTTCTCAGAAAGAATAATCATATTGATCAGACACATATGGAATCACTAAACTATTTTAAGAATAATAATGAATGGGCAATTCAAAAACAGGATAATATCGGGATAAAATAATACATATTATAGTCATTTGAGAAAAACCAGTTCAGTGTGTCAATTTAAAGATTAATTTAAAATAATGATTATCTACGCAATAAAAACAAGGTAGGAAAATGGTTTAATACATAATAAAAAGTAATTCAGAATGAAAAATTCCACACATAATGTATAAAAGTTCCATAGTGGGTTAAAAACTAAACTTTTGGAATTCTCATTCGTATTATTACCATTATTAATCTTTAGATAGTTACGAAAAGGCAGTAAACTTATATCATTGTCATAGTTAATTTCATTAGGTAAACTACAAACCATTTTATCTTATACCAGGTTTGATAAAGTTATTTATTTTCAGTTTCAAAGAGTTAATTTTGCCCTTAGAAAGTTATCATTAAATCATATATGTTAATTAATGTATATTTCAGCTATACGTGAATACATTCTCATGTGTTTATACCTTGCTGTATGTTAAACGAGAGGAAATTGGATGGTTTTGTTAGAAAAATTAATAATTGAATTAATGATTCGATTTAAACCCGACCACCATTGAAAATCTGGAAGCACTGGATGGCCGTTTCATCCTAGTATGGGACTCATCAGTAGTGCATACCCACGATCCTGCACGCGGGACTCAAATCCATGGCCTTCAGTCGCGCGGGCAAACGCTTAACCTCTAGACTACTGAGCCAGCATCCAACGGTGTTAATATCTAATTTCAACCAATCCACGATATTGCGCGGCCGTCCACCATTGTCTTCAGTGAGTAACTGCCTCACAACAAACACAGTTGAACTACACCGGTCACGGCTTCTCACTAGAGCTCCAGTCGCTAGTGAGCACGTGATGATTATTATCAGAATAGGAGTTTGTGAAGATTGTAGTAATTTTAATGGCTGTGGAGTTCCATGATAGGACGAAATGGCCGCCCAGTGCTCCCGCGTTTTCAATGTTGGTCTAGCTTAAATTGACTCATTAATGCAACTATTAAAATTACTACAATCTTCACTAACCTCCATTGCGATAAATTAGGCCTAGTCAGATGTTAGTCAGAATTCAAATAAATAACCTTAAATTATAATCAACGTTAGGTCAAAATGTGAATGAATTAGATAATTATTGGGAGGCTACTAATTACAAATAGTTAAGTTGACTAATAAGCAATAACCGTACTATTTAGGTGAAATTAACTAGATTGAAATATCATCATTTTCATTTTATTTGTGTGTGGGCTGTGATACTGCCCGGGTGCCCAGACCGAAGCAAGTGGTCTTCTTAGGGGACCACACCCCGCGTATTTGACCTAAAGGTCTGACCCACAAGGTAGTAGAGCATCGTGAGGAGATGCAGTCCCATGGTAGCCGGTGACCAACAATTGGTTCATACGCCCTCAAGGTACTGGAGCCCATGTGCACGATTGGTTTGGGACCCGGTTAAAGCGCCGGACATTCGCTTTCCGTCCTCTCATTTTCGTAAACAATACACCCGCCACGAGAAGGCAGTGAGTAGGACTTCCCTGGCCGTGTGAGAGCATTTCGAGAGGGAGGGTGGGCTCACCCCACTTTCGGCCATACCAGGACATTCGGGGTAAAGTGAAGGCATACAACCACCTTTCTCCATTGTTCCATTCAAGCAGTGGGGTTAGGCAGGGTTGCCTAATCTCACCATTCCTCTTCAACTTTGCTATTGATGACATTCTGGAAACAGCTCTGATGGATGTAAGTAATGGTGGTGTGGATCTGTTTCTCGAAGAAGACTTTTCGACCTAGAGTATACGAATGATATTGTGTTACTGTGCGATAATGCTCAAGTCATGCAATCCACACTTAATCAGCTGGCAATCAATGTCCGTAGGTACGGTATGTGCTTTGCACCTTCGAAGTGCGAAGTACTTCTACAAAACTGGCAGGATTCTAATCCTGTACTCACCCTGGATGGTGAGCAGATAGAAGTAGTCGAAAAGTTCGTGTATCTAGGTAGCTGCATAAGTGCTGGTGGTGGCGTGAGTGATGAGACCAATGCACGTATAGTGAAAGCCAGAGCGGCTTATGCCAATCTGGGCCACCTTTGGCGCCTTCGTGACGTCAGTCTGGCTGTAAAAGGTCGGATCAACAACGCGTCGGTGTGAGCAGCTCTGCTCTATGCTTGTGAAACCTGGTCTCTCCGAGTTGAGGATGTTAGACGACTCTCTGTGTTCGATCATCGTTGTCTCCGAAGGATTGTTGACATCCAGTGGCAACACCATGTTAGTAATTCAGAGGTTCGGCATCGTGTGTTCGGGCGCAGAGACGGTAATTCAGTTGGTGTCATCATCTTGAAACACCGACTTCGGTGGCTTGGACATGTTCTACGAATGTCGTCCCAGAAAATTCCACGTAGTGCATTACTTGCCGACGCTGGGACTGGTTGGAAAAAGCGGAGAGGTGGCCAGTGTATGATATGGTGTCGTGGTATGAGAGAAAGCTACAAAGGGCTGGCTTCTGTTGGTCCTTCACGACTCCCTGGTTGGGGTCTGAGAGATGGTGCAGCACAGTGACTAGAGACGTTATCAGATATTGCTCAGAATAGAAGCCAGTGGCGATCCTGCTGTAACCTTCTTTTACTTTCTTCATAAAAAGAGTGGTTGTATCTTCCTTAACTGAAAGAGTTCTTCTGGTTGTACCTTTCCGTTTCCCTCATTATTGTTATTATCATTACACTACCTTACACTAATCTGTGGTTATTATTCTTTTTTTCTTTTGTTCCTTATACGCACCTTACCTTCTTTTTTCTCTTCCCGTTCTCATTGTTTTGTGTGGCGCATATGTATTTGCTGCCCCCCTTGTACCAATATTTATATGTTCAAATAAATAAATAAAACTAGAGTGAAAAAAGTGTAGATGTACGTGTTAGTGATATTGGAAAACACACAAATCCAAATTGTAGGTTGACTAGCAATGAAAATATCTAGTTAACTATGGAAGATTTGAAAATCATGAGTCCACGATGTTGTCCTTAAAAAACTTTGAAGATTTGGCAGTGAACCGATAACAAACTTAGTTGGGAAGGTTCATTGAATAGGAATAGTGCAAACTTAGTAGTGTATCTAATTTTAGGCATTTCTCAATATAACATCAGATAATAATTTAAACGCTGAATTGAGATATCATTTAAAAATATGTTTAGAGAAACTATGAACTTAGTTAACAAAAACAGGCCTAAATACTCCGCTTTGAGCCAGTAATACTACGAGAAATGCTCAAACTGAAGCCACTTTCATATCTGCAACCTAATGGTTGATACCCGAGTGCACTTTCATCATAACTCATAATAAATAAATAAATAAGTGAATATTACTGGACACTTACATTCTTGATCCGCTATTATTATCTGAACAATTATCATTGTTAGAGTTAAAGACATCCGAAAAGACAGGTTTAATTTGTATACCTAAATTTTCACCACGTTTAGTATTTATCAGACGAATTGTCACTACTGAGTCTTTACTATTTATTGATTCCTGAGATTTATTCACTGAAGGTGATTCAATGATATTCAAAGATATTTTTTCAGGTACTTCATTAATTGGTTGATGATCATCTGTATTGAAATCTGATTGATTTAATGATGCAGATGATGAAAGATGTGATAAACCAGATTTACTTATAACTTGACAATTATTACTCATAGTAGCATCACGAGTATTTTCAAGCCAACGAATTACATCCGGTTTAGGTAGACCACGAATAGAATGGTTATTTGTTATTAATGGATTATCATTTGAATGAAATTGAAGATTAGACAAGTGTAATTCATTTGAACTAGGATTACATTTATCATTATTAATTGTATTCACATGTAGTACACCGCATTTTTGGACAGATGTTTGATCTTTTCTGTAAATTATCAAATTACGGGATGGGAAGAATAAAGAAACTAAGAAATAAACTAGAATTTAAATTTACAAACATTTAGATTTGGTTATGTCTATTTCAATAATAATAATAATAATAATAATAATAATAATAATAATAATAATAATAATAATAATAATAATAACAATAATAATAATTATAAAAAATACCTCATGATTAACCGAATTCAAGAGAGTAGACGATATAGGGTTTCAAAAAACAGAAACGTGATTAAAATAAGTGAATCGAGAGGAGAATGAGAACGTCATTCCTATCTAAGATTGTCAAACTAAATCACAATGAAATGAAGTAGGAAAATACTGATAATAAGCACACGCGCACACACACTAGTACTAAAACATTAGAGACAGAGATGAGTAGACAAAAACAGAAACAATAACAATAGAAATGTACCTGTTTATCGATTCAAGCTGCAACATTTGAATTTAGCACAAAGAAAAGTGAAAGCATGATGAAATTTCAAGAAACAAATCAGTAACTGTCATCATGATGTGGAGTACTGAATATTATTTCAATGTAGTGGTCACTATTTGGAAAGTTTGATAATCAAAATACCTAGTTTATTGAGGAAACAATCTATCAGACTTTTATACACATACAATTTGGTTAGAAACTAACTTGAAAACTACTGCAGTCAGTTACAGACAGCGTAGGACTTAAAATAAATGCATATAAGTCTACGATGGAATACTTCATAGTGGAAATACTATTGTGAAATTAGTAAGGAGTAAAGAAATGGAAGAAAAACATTAGTTGGGATGGGAAGCTAAACGTGGAGGACATTTTAAAGTAGAACGAAATCAAAGAATTAAAATAGAGGAATGATACTGTAGTTGGGGTCTAGAGGATGGTTGAGGATGAATATCACCACGCCACTGTGGTTGATTCTTGGTCACGTTACATGTTAGTGAAGTAATATGTGTCGTTGTCATTATGGTTACTGTAAGTCATGGAATTTAATTCAGATACACATGTCCAATTAGTAGGTAAAAAACATTACAATAAATAAAGCACAGTGAACACCATTTACTACTGTGATAATCTAAATTGTCATGAATGTTCTTGAATTATTGATTGCATATCCTCTAACTACAAACTAATTGATTGAGATTAGCCGTAGGATACTAGACAAAGATGGGAGGTCAGTTGGTAGAACTCTTCAGAGGTAAGTAGAACAAGTGTTGCGCATGTTCAGCTACCATTTACTCTGACAAGAAATGTTTGGCATAATGGGCAGGGATGAAAGCAAGATTTGGTATCAGTTGATTAAATTATTGATTGTTGGTGTGAACCACCTGGCTAAGAAACGTTTCTTTTTTTACGAGTCGGTAACAAGGTACAGGTTCAGAACTTAGTTTGGGGTCAAATATTTTGTGTGATGGCTAGTAACGTTACGTGTACATCCCAACCGAAGTAGAACTTGATTTCACGACTCATTGGTTAACAAAGTGTGTCTGAAACGCAATCTTGCAGTTGGAAACCTAGAGGCTGAACAGTTTTTGTATTATTTATAGCTTTAATATTAGGTAGCATATATTTAAAACTCTGATGAAATATGGATCCGCTGAGATTACAGGTATGCTCTGTTGATGAATGTTGGAGAGAGTGAAACCTAAGCCCAAAGATTTCAAATATTATTTTCAATAACCTGACATGGGAGAAAAACTACAAACAGTATTAGAACTCACTCCAAAACATAATCTTTACGTAGAAGTGGATAATCTTCTTCATTTGCTTCATTAATATCAATATTATTATTAAGCACAGGATTAGTTCTAGACTTTAACATGTCGATAAATTGGTGTTCTGTTTCATATTCCGGCAAATTCGGAAGTTGTCTTTCAGAATCTACCGAATATTCTTCTTCTTCTTCAACTATAGTTGGAACAGTTAAATTGCTTTGAAATGCTGTTCCTAAACGTGTTGTTGTTCGAGAATAGGAGAGACCGCCAACAGGACGACTTGTTATAACAAGGGATTTTGTTGAGTTGATATTACATGTGTGTGAGTATTCTACAAAAAGGAAAAGGATTTTCACAAGAATTAGGATGACTTAAAAAACCCTTATCGATAAGTGAATTATGCTTGTCAGGAAGTAATTAGATAGTAAGGAGCATAAGTTAAAATAGGAGACTACTCAAAACAACGTATACAGTGGGAGTAACATGCAAACTTACTTTACACTAAGCTAATTATGATTAATTATGACACGGAATAGCCATAATTAGTGAATTTAATTATCATACAAGTTGAGATTATGGATTATAAGGAGACTGGTTATAACGACGGCACAACAAAAACCATCTAGCTTTTTGGTTTATTAAGAGAAAAGAAAAATTGTTCAGATTGTATCACACTGTCTATCCCGATTTTCTTGTCGAAATAATGTAGAATTACCCATTTTTTCTTTGTTCGATATCGTTTTCATACTTGTCCGTTTAATAATAAACTATTTTTATTGAGTTTTCCCTCTGTACAACTGAAAAGTTTGCTAAACTGAGGCAGTGTATATGTTATGGATCAGCATTTAGACTACACAAGGAAAACGTAATTCACAAATTTGTATTATACTGTGCTGCCTGTTAAAAATTCTAACTTGTCATGAAGTTTTGGTTTTATGATTAAGTATAAAATCAATACTAAATAAATAGTGATCCGCTTGACAATATCAATATTTTCTCCAAAGATAGTAGTCCGTAACTTGACTGATACGAAATTAAAATTAAAACATAAAATTACAAAATATGCGACTTACTGCAACACTAGTTACGTAAGAATAAAGTGGAAGGAATTGAGTAAGCTTGAAATTAAGCAATTGAATATGAATGTTTAGTGTTATTTGTAAGCATAAAATATAAGTAGCTAGTAAAACGGATGGCATAAAAACTACACAGCCAGATTATGAGAACGGATTAAGTAAAAATAGGATTAGAAATTAAAATTAGACAAAATTAAAAAAAATTTTGAGAAAAGTAAGAATAATTAAGTAGAAGTAAGTATCGTTACCAAGGTATGATTTGGGATATTAAAAATATATTATTTATTTATAATTAAGTAGAAGGTCAGAGTAAATTGTGTGGTTGCACAAACGTTTCTTGTATACAAAGATTAAATTTATTTGTGTATTTCTATAGCTTCTTCTGTGCGTAAAAATACGATTTAAGGAATCACGGGGCGAGCGCAATGGAATTCTATAAATAACTTTGAAAACCAGTTTTGTTTCGATTTGGTATCTAGTATGCCCGATATATACGACCAATAAATCATCATAGTAAAAATGAAAGAAAAGCTAAATTAGAGTGTTCACCTAGGGAATGAAAAAACACTGAAGTCATGGCGTATCCTAAAGAAACTTCAGAAAGGATAAGAAAGATTCTAAATATGCATGATAAAAAGTTTATATCCAAGGTAGTGATGCTATAGATATTACTGAAAGTGAAGTATAGGATATCAAAAGAGTGAAAACAAGACTGTCTATGAAGTAAGTCACCATATAAGTAGGGTGGTGGGAGCTAAATGCCATGGCAAAGAAAAACTTTGAAATTCTCAGAAGAACTTAAGAAGCTCGAAAATGGATTAGCAATAGCACTATACTGATTAGAAATGGGATATAAGACTAACTTTGAAGGAAAGTTTTTGGAGCTCATGAGGGAAGATTAGCAGCTGAGGTTTTATGCCGACAGGAGACAGAATACGGTCGGCTACTGCATAGTCATTGTTGGTTAACAGATAAATACATGGCATTTCATATCTAATCAGCTGTCGATACCGCTTGCAGCTTGACCCCAACAAAGATGAACGCTTATTGAGTCATAATGTTTGGGGTTATCTGTGGATGCCTTTTATTTAACGTTTCCATTAACTATACGACTATTTGAAATCTACACAAACTTCGACTGGGTTATCTTACTGATATGTACTACTTATTTTGTAAGAAGAAAGCGGTTAGCTAATACTTCGTCGTAGTCACATTGTAAACGATTTTCACATCGAATATTTCATGACCTTACTATAGTATACAATATAAACATCTGAACCACGTTTTATTTAACTTGTTAAAAAAATGGTTGTTTTGTAGTGAGATTCTTATTCACAGGTACAACAAAAAGTTACTTGCGTCAAGGGGGAACTTGACATTTGAAACTATTTTCAAGAGAATTGTGAGAATTTAGGTGATAAATCTACTTGTGAATTGAACTATCTCATTTGAACACTTCGTCTTACCAATTAAAAATAAGGCATGAGTAATGTTGCATATCTACGGTTGTATAACTCCAGGCTTTTAAGTACATACATATAATCCTGAATCAAAATTTATACACTTATAACCATGCAATTTTTAAATACTTACGAGACTGTACATGGTCCGGTCTCGACTGATGTAATGAATTACTAACCATATTATTTTCTGCTATATGAGTATTCGATAAATGTTGCATATTTTGTTGTCGAATAGAATCGTCATACTGTGTGACCAAATTAGGCTTAAAAAGTAAAATGAAACATAAACCATTAACCGATAAAGATTATAGATGTTTGAGAATTGTCTTTTGGCGTAAAACAACTGAAAAAAAAGATAACGATACCTTAATCTACCTTTCATGATTGCTGTCATTCGATCACTTTTATGTATGAATCAAGGAGTAATGTAATCCCAAATGACTAAGTTTCTGTCAAAATAAAACGAAAGAACTTAAGGAATCATGTCAATTCAGGAAAATGAACGAAAACTAGAACAGTAGACGATCGAAACAGCGGTTTTTGATTCAAGTGATTATATGAATAAAGTAAAACTGAAATTCCCATGTCCAATCTTGTTATTAATGATGATACAAATGTTCCTCAGTCCTAAATTAAAACTGAACAATCCTTGAGTGCATCCAGGTAATCGACAATACTTTGAAGTTTGAACTAGTGTGAGAACAACTTTTAGTTAGCGATCATATATATACAGAAAAATAAATAAAAATGTAATGTTGTCGACATTTTCCTAATAAACGTTCTATGTTGATACAATCGATTGTCTTAATTATGAAACTTCTTGTTAATAAAGGGTACAAAAGAATAGAATATATCATAATTGATCAAACTAGTATGTTGATAAATGCCTTGTATTAATAAAAATGCTACTCAAATAAGATTAGTGCAATCGCACATGAACTTGGAAAATTGAGTAATTGGAATGATAGAATGTTCTGTTTGACAAGTCTCAGGTGGGTGGCTTATAGAAGTTAGTTACCTAACCTCAATTACTCGGATTTATAATTTGGTTTGCTTAGTTCATTCATTTCACACTACCATTTTCAGTTTGTGTTGTCTTATAGTATAATTCTGATAGTGTTTGTGAAATGTTTAGATCTCGCTACTTATTTGAATAAAAGAGGTGAAATTCATAAAATACACTCTCCTATTTAAAAAAGTTAGGATCATTAGAAAGAAGATAGAAAACTCACCTGAGAATAACTGAGGGGATTTCGGAGTTCTGACTGACTGACTAATGAATTAGACACTATGTCTGAAGTTGTGCAAAATCGGTCGGAACCATTCGAACTTGAAAATGAATTATGACTTTGAACTGCACGTATCAGTCGTTCAGTATTTATACCTATATGATATTCGTCTTCTGGAGAATGTATTCTACATGGGAGATTAGTAGGAATATTAACATGTGGAACATCGGAAGCAGAAAAAGGTGGAGGTGGGAGAGGCCAAATATCTGCATTTGATAAAACAGGGTGATTACTTGGTCTATCACAAGTTCCGCTTGGTGTAAGAGTCACCGAGGGATATCTTACAGTCGAAAAGTTATCGTTAGTATTTTCATGGTGACTATTACTTTCTGTGACATCTAAACAACAGTGGTTTCCTCCAGGTAAAGAATTAGGTAATATATCTGAATTATTGTTTATGGTATCTGAGTGAAGGATAGTATCACCATTGGGTAATGACACAAATTCATTCTGCTGTTCACCTACTTGGCAATCGTATGAATAGCCTCCATCAGGATCAAATGCATCTTCATCTTCATCATCAGAATCCCAACCAGACTCAATAAGATCACGACGGCGAGATAAGACATTTGAGAGCTTAAAATTAAAGAGATTTAAATATATGAAACAGATATTTCAAAAAGCATATGATTTGATAACTAATTTAAGCGTTGGGTTGAAGTTAATAAAAAATAAGGGATATTGTCTGAGATAACTATGATGTGTGGCTAAACTTACTAATTCACTAATAAACTCGGTGTGATATTTATTAAAAACATGACATGGGAAAATTCAGCTAAGCCGTGACAAAAAAATATATGAAGTTAGTAGACACCAGTTTAAGTTTTATGACAAATTACGGGTTTTCTGACCAGAATTTATGAGATATTGGAAACTTGTGATTAGAAGTAGAACCTGGAACACATGTGCATCCGTCCAAGTCCCCACACCACGTCAGCACGGTGCTTTTAGAGAGTCATTTCATCATCTGGCTATCCCGGGTTTGATCAAACAGATCTACTTGTTAACTGAGGATACGCAAATGATATAGTTCTTTTTGGTGAAGACAATGATAAAATGCAGTATTCTGACCACCTTAAGCAGCAGTGCAAGCATGTTCAGGATACGGTTCTCTCCCTCCAAATCCAAAATGATGCTTATGGATCAGCTTGTGTTACCACCTAAATTAACGATAGGCGGTAAAGTAGTTGGACGCATCGACCACTTCACTTACCTCGGCAGTCTCATCAGTCCTGATGGTCTGGTGTCTGATGAGATTTCGGTACGGGTTCAGAAGGATCGACTGGCTTTTGCCATCTTGCGTCACTTGTGGCGTAGGTGGGATATCTGTTTGTCAACAAAATGACGAGTTTACCGAGCAACAATTCTCTGTTCTTCTTTAAAGGTGTGAAACATGGCTATTAAAAATAGAGGATATTCGCAGGTTACTTGCATGCAATCACGGGTATCTTCAAGGCATTGCTCGTATATTGTGAGACCAATGAGTTAACAATTGCGAGGTTAGATACAGAGTACTAGGTACGTGTGGCAAATGAACTGACGAGGTAGCGAATCTTTATCGACTGAGATGGTTGGGACATATACTACGTGTGCTTATCTGTAGATTACCTCGATAGGCGATGATGACTGACATGGGAGTAGGTTGGAGGAAAGCTATGAGTGTTCAAACTAAGACATGGCACCAGTCCATGAAGATACTGACTGTTGAACTGAACTATGTAGGTAGGTACATGCCACCTAATTTGGGTTCATGTCATCAACATAACCAATGGTTGGATGCCTTGAGTGACATGACAGAGAATCATTTACAATGGCATAGATATACTCACTCTTTGTCTTCCCTTAATCCTAAGTTTGTTAATTGGTTGTAAATCTTTTTTTATCTTCGATGTTTGATCTTCGTTATTACTATTAATATTGTTATTACCTCTGCTACTCTGGGATTTGGTCTAGCAATTTCATCTCTCGGTGCTAATAGGATGAGTCAACTTGAATCCACGTACAAACGTAGGAGGTTCGATGTTTTGACTGACTGATCGACTGAATTAGTACAATGAAGTGAATTTCCAAAACAAATTTCATAGCACGATTAGTAAAAGTATCAGTAGCATCGATACGACTTATGAATAGAAAATGAGTTTGTGAACACTATAGATCACAGATAGATCTATTTCATATTTATAACTATTAAATAGTAAAATGCTAGATTTAATTGAGAATCAACAACTTAAACTGTTCAAGATACTAGAACGTTCAGTAAACGAACAACAAACAGGACACTAATATGTTTTTCTGAGAACAATTGAAGTTTGAGGTGAAATACGGTACATAACATGGCTTCATGAATGTCTAACTGTTTAAAATTTGCCTACGATTCGTTTCGTCATATACGTATATCCTACCTTTCTAAAGATCTTTCCTATAAGTTTTGATAGTTCTTTACATCTCTTGTTGAGATATTTTGAAGTGTGGATTCTTCAATGAATTCAACAGTGTAAAATTCCACTAAACCAGTAAACGTATCCATAAAAATAAATCTGAACGACTCATTATATAAATGTATATATATATATATATATATAAAGAACTAACCATTTCAAAGACATTCGGTGAAAGTGTTCTTTGACAATGCTTTGAAATTGCTGTATCATTTATGGTGATACTATTCGGACAGGATTTATTACACGAAACCGGAGAACTTTTCAGTCGTTCACAAGTACTTGATATTGTATTGAAGCAAGTAGGTGGTGACTGAGAAGCTGAAGAGGTTGTAAAACATTTCTCTTTATTGCCAGAAGAGGATACTTCTGAAACACAATTCACTTTAATGTTGGGATCTGTTGCAAGGAAAAAAATAATTACAAACGAAGGCCTGGTAACTCACAAATGAGGAATAGCGTGACTCAATAGAGTCGGACAGCTGAGACAATGTAGGATATTGCACAAATGTGAACACGGTCGTCGTGAGGACACAGACGAGGCAGTCTGTATCAGTCAGTCATATGCAGCGTATGAATAAGAACATATATTCACCAGTTCAAGTTGCCATACCACACTAGCGCAGAGATAAGAAATTATCAAAACAAATCCCAGAGTAGCAGAGATGGTATCAACATAAATATCAGTAGAAGAGACTAGGTGTAGACAATAGTAACTGAGAGAAAAGGGTGAGATCTTGAGATAAAAAGTACAAGTTGATCGTGAGACTTAGGACCTAAGCGGAGACAAAGAGTGTACAACACGGTTCAGCCAAAAAGTCAGCGACTTTATGGACTAAATCCATGTCATCGTTCGGCTGCTTTTAGCTTTTACCAAAGTCACTCTTACTCCATTTACAACAAAAGATAATTAATCTCCATATGTACAAACGACGGCTGAGGTACAAATTTGAGTTACAGGTTTATAATTAATTAGCTATGACTTATGACATGGCTCAAAACAGGGAGCGATGAAAGTAGATGCATTCGTAGTTTGTCTTCCATTATAACTTTATAAATAAGGGCACCTAGTTAGAGTATATCCAACAGTGTTTCAAAATTTGGGGTAAAGCGGTATTTTAACAACCAATCAATCGGTCTACCTACTATCTTGAGTAGGGTGGTGGTTTAGTGCCTAAAATACTTGACTTTCATACGTTGGGCTACAAGTTTGAATGCCCATCGACCCACTTCAGTTTATATTGCTAGGTATTATACCGATACAAGCTTGAAGCCAAGTATGTAAACCAGGTCTTTGTCACATAGTTGCACTTAATCCATGGACTGGGTTTTAGTCTCTTAAATGTAAAACGTAGACCGGTTGTTTTATGAATGACCTAAAAGTGTAATTATCCGTACAATATACTATCAACGATGATCAGAGACATGGAGCTTACATTTTACTTTTAGACCTTAGCAGTAACTGTGGTTAAAATGCTTGGATTTCAAGTGTTAGATCACAGGTCCTGATTCTACAATACTTGACTCGGTTTGTGCAGATCCGTAGTATATCTGTTCCCCAAGGAGTGTAGTTCGATGTTGAATATAGACATGTACTTGGTACATAAGTAACAGTCTTTAGTTAACATATCAGACAGTTATAAATTCCACACGTAAGGTCCACTATTATTTTTATGTGAAAACAAAAGGATATAAACGACCAAAACAT